GCTGGGATCGAACCAACAACCTACTGGTTAAAAGATGATTTATTCTTCGCAGCCACAATTGTATTTTGGCTAGATTATTAGCTTAATAAAATGTGCCAAATGTGCTCCTCCTGAGACCCAGAAAGAAAAAGGTTTCAAATGTCCTTTTTTTTTGTATCACACATGTCTTTAGGGTGGTATAAACATAATGACTAACAACAACTTTATTGTGTGTCCTTTGTAGAGGACATTAAGATACAGGTACATTTAGACAACATTAGAACACAACAACTCAATGCAACAAATACTGAGCCCTCATTTGTAGCACTCCATCCTTTTTTGAAATGCAGAGATACATCTGACACTTGAGGCACTTGATGTATGTTTTCCCACTGCATCCGTCTGCCATGAACCCTACAGAAACCTCCATTTGTGTCAAATGGGGGAAATAAAAAGTTAGCAAATCCCCATGTCTTCGTGATTTAGTTTTAGGTCAAATAAGTATTACACTGCTCTGAAAACTCACTACACTAACTCCTAAGATGTTCCCTTACTATAATTAATTAAACATATTGAACTCACAACACTGGTAATTACAATATTACCATTTCTCTTTCTATAAATAGTGCTTGTGTTGATGCCATTTTGAAATACAATGAAATTATATTTTTCAAAGCCACACCCCCACATATGTCATATGTTTGAAAAGCCCAGGATGTCCTCTGTGGAGTACAATTGGACGTAATGCTGTGGCATGTATAACCTCAAAGTAATGGACCAAAATCCAATGTGCTCCACAGAGGACACAAATGAATGGGTGGGTCTGGGGAATAGTGAACTGGCAAAAGGGATCGAATCAGTGTATATTTCCGATGAAGACCAAACACGCTTTGCATAAAGAAACACACAAAAAGATCTTACACAAATTGCTTTTTTAAAATTGTATTTATTTTGAAGGAAGACTTGTTATGCGTCATCACACTGCTAATATGATACCTCTTGCATAAAAAACAACAACATTTCAAACAGCAGAGACAATGATTTGTGCGATCAAAGAAACAACAATTATTTCCCTAAGAGGTACTCTAGAGCAGTGTTTCTCAAACTTTTTCATACCAAGGACCACTTAACCAATAAAAAAACACTCGCGGACCACCTAACTCCACAAATATCCAAAAACACATCGTTGTTTACAAATCGCCTGAAAATTGTACAAACAAGTGGCAACATGTGTGATGAAGGTGTTTATCTGGGTTATATCATGCAATCGAAAGTGAAACTTAAGCTCGCTCCATTGTGGAGATATTCCCGCGAGAGTGCGGAAAATTTTAATTAATTAAAAATGTGAAATGTTACCAATATACTCACGGACCACTAGGGGGCGCTCACGGACCACCAGTGCTCCACCAGTGCTCTAGAGCAGTGGTTCTCAACTGGTGGGTTGCGACCCAAAAGTGGGTCGTGGACCCGTTTCGAGTGGGTCGCGGATGTGTGAGTGAAGAAAAAAAAATAGATTTTTTTTTTTTGGAATTTCTCTTTTTTTTTTTGGGAGAAAAAGTCAAACTTCTATTTTGAAGGCCCGATTTTCTAACGCTGTGCATGCTTCGACAGCTTCAAAAACGGTTTCCAACGCGTCTGCCCATTCACTTTGGATGGGGTGACGTCACGTTGCCTCGCTTTTCACCGAACTGAATTGTGGGTGGGTAGCATAGCGGTCCGTCTCCGGCGTCAGAAGTTGAACAATGTTCAACTTCTGACGCCGGAGTAGCCAGCGCTAGCCAATCAAATCCCGTTTCTGAAAATCTGACAGCTCAAGCCGTAGCCAATCAAACCGCGTCTAAGCTGGGAGAGATATCCCGCCGTTCATTTCTATATTTCAAAAAAAGATGGAGGAGAAACTAATTATCGCCGTAGCAAATCACCCGGTTTTGTATGACCAGACCCTCTTCACCTACCGGGATACAAACCGAAGGAACCAGGCATGGAGGGAGGTGGCAGAGACAGTGGGTGAAACTGGTAGGTTTTCGCCTGTTTGGGGAGTTTATATATATATCTATTGCTCGCATAAAATTCCCGGGGTTTTTTGCTTTGTATGTCGGGGGCGGGAGATTCATGTGATTGGTTGTTGGTCGCGTTGCTCGAATAAAATCCCCAAGCTTCAGACACGCCCAGCTCCAAGCTTTTTTTTTTAATTTAAATTTATTCCTGTAAATAAATATATTTAAAATACATTTAAAGTAAGTCACACAGACTATCTCCTCTTTTCTCTTCTCGCAGCAAGATGTCAGAACAAAGTGAAAAACAAACAATGGCATACAATATTATTAATATGTCGTGGTTGGGTTTTCAGCATGTGTGCCTTTTTATATAGTTCAGCTTTGATTCCATCATCTCATTAAACCTTTTTTAAAAGCATACTTTAGTTCTGTGAAGGGATATATGCACTGTACTTGACTTGAATAAATGTTGTATGCTGAAAAGCGTATATATTACAGCACGATTTGTATTGTTGAATAGATTTGAGTGCTTCAAAATGTTGGGTCGCGATGTATTGACCAAGTAAAAAGTGGGTCCCGAGCTTTATATATACAGTCTATGGTCCCGAGGCCTGACCAGTTGAGAACCACTGCTCAGAGGTGCAACAACGCAAACGTCTTTGTTATGTATTATGTACAACGCAAACACAGAAAAACACATAGCAAAACTCTGAATTGTCAAAATAAATAGGCATTGGATAACAAAATAATAAATGGGAAAACATGTTGGTTGAGGAAAAACCCACTCATCACAGACAATAGTATATAATCCTGCTTTGACCTGAAAACCATTACTGAACAAATCCGCTTCAGACTGAAGATATCAAAGACAAATGTTATTTTTGTCTTGACTTGATGGTATCCTAAAACAGCGAGATTAGCTTAGTTAGCTCATTGTCGTTTGGATGAGCTAGCAGCTTTGCACAGAAATGACAACCAATGGTATCAACAAACAAACAACATATTCACAGTTAAATATAAGGTTGGGCATTTAGGGTGCTGGAAGGAGCTCCTGTCAATTTAAAATATGTAAATCAACATTTATCCTGGGACTGCAGTTACACAAACTGGTGAGCTAAAGGAGTAATGTGCGGAAGTTAACAAGCTAGCAAGGGAGTGTTGTTGTTGTTGTTGTTGTTGTTGTTGTTGTTGTTGTTGTATGCAGAGTGAACAGCATGTAACATTTAAATCAATCTACCGTCCTCTAATATGTATTCACGCAGAACTCCTCGGGATGAAGACTTTGCAGAAAGGATGTTTTCTGTTTGCTAACACTTGGCTAGCTAGCCCGTCCTCATTAATTAGCTTGCTTTTCCCGCTTGACTTGCACAGGTCAGAATTCATTTACAACAGTTTGGAAATTGCGTAAAGGATCTTCTTCTATAGTTTTCCACAAGGGGAAAAACATCCTGAGCAAGATCACAGCAGGAGCATCTAAGTTCGACTTTCAGACGTAAACATGTACATAAAGCACCAGTCCAGTATGTCTTGTAGCCAGTGTAAAAGGCACATTATGATGGTCGAGGTAAGGAGTACTAACGTTTTTTAAACGTTGTTAGGTTGCCTTAGCTTAGCCTGAATGTGACAACAGATGGGATCAAACCTTTGAAGACATTGTTGGAGCTCTCTACATTGAGATTAGGCATATCTTATCCAAACTCAATTGAAAAATGAACTGTAAACCCTTACTGTATCCGTGCTGCTCCTCAACATGATATTGTTTTAAACTAAACGTGCTGTTCAAGGACAATTCAATTTGTAGTTTTAACGCTTTTTCTGCAATGCATCAACAATTACTTCTTCACTTTCTGACCTAATATCTGAAAATGAAACTGTACGGCTTATAGACAATATTATTTGATACTGAAGAATCAAAGCATTAAATCAATATTGCCAGTAGTATTTGCACATATTTAGCTCAGGGTCTATTTCATCTTCCAGACATTTTAATACACATCCTTCACTTACATATGTTTTGGAAATCAGCATTTAAAACTCAAGCCATGTGCGTTTCCATCGGCAACTTCTCTGAGACTGCCTGTGAACTTCCTGTTAACGTCACGGCCTACGAACAATGATCCATTTATATGTACTTCAAAACCAGTAGCACTTCCTTCCACATCATCAATAGCACTTTTAACGCCTGATGCATTTCATTTCTATTCATAATTCTAGCTGCAGTTCATTTGTGCATTTCTGAGGTTTAGGAACCGGCACCCACCCAATATGATCATCCTATTTTCACTGCAAGACAACACAGATTTTAAAATGATGCGTTTGTGTGCTGCACATGTAGGCAAGTGAACTCCTCAGGTTTGTTTTTAAATGTGTCATTAGGGAAGGCTAGAAGCGGTCAATATTTCAGCAGGCAAAAAGCGTATAAAAATAAACACTTTAAGAAATGTGTATAATAGCAACATGTCATAGCTTGTAAACCCTCTCACAAGACTCCATAGTTATTTCATAACACCCTGAGAGACCCACACTGCTGTTAAACCTGACTTCAGCTGCAGTCGGCATACACAGCACCACAGAGAATGGATGCAGGATCAATTCAGGAAGTTCAATAATATTGTTTTACTTAAATATTAAACAGGCAGCAGTGTTTTAAGCAGCACTGGGAGTGGGGATGTCTTCGTGGCCTACTGTTATTCATTCAGAACCAGAGTGAAGAGAAACAGGGTCTCTAATGGGGTTGTGCAGGGGCTTAGCGAGAGGAATGTTACCAAGTGAGCTGCAATAAAACAAAATGTGAAAAACAAAAAAGAAAGAGTGCTTTTTTGGGTAACTTTGATGAAATAAATGCAAGCAGGTTATGCAGAGTGTCAGATTTACCATTAATGCAAATCCTTAAAGGGATGTTTGATTTAATGCGCGGTGCACCGGGTCAGATTCTTACTCTGAGGTGAGTGTTAAGGGCAGATATTAGTTTTTAGCATTTTGTGTTTTATTGATGCTATTCACACATTTGAAAATCAGATGGTATTGTTTGTCATTTATTATATATATATATATATTTATTACATACTTCTCCCTTAAGGTAAGGTACTTCCAGTGGTTTAACTCCAAACGTCTCAACGTCCATTTCTTTATGTTATTTTCTACAATTATTTACGGACACTTTAGCTGGTTAGACGGTGTGTGTGAGTTTTCTGTTATTTAATAAGTCCTCAGTTTCTTTACAGGTAGATTGCTGCTGGATGGGCACCAGTGTGTGTGTGTGTGTGTGTGTGTGTGTGTGTGTGTGTTTATCTATGAGAGCGTCTGGTTGGCGAAGAAGGCCTTGGTCTCTCCACAGGTGGGGTTGGTGCACATGGGGCAGCGGAGGGTCAGCTGACGGGAGCAGGACATGTTGGACTTCAGGTGGGAGTTGACCAGGTCAGCCAGAGCCTGGACAGGAAGACATTCAGTGATGAGACACGGACAGAGAGAAGAAGAGAAGCACCCCCCTTTAAAAACCTGCTGGTGTTTTCAGAACAAGGATTATTTGATACCTTTGACTAAAAGCCTGGATGATGGAAACCACGCCCACTTTCAAATGAAGAAAGCCTTGTGATGGCGAGCGCTCGTTGCTTCAATGCCACCTTTTATGTTCAATTTGACTCAGTTAGCAGCTTGCTAATAAGCTAGCTATTTCCACCATGCTTTGAGGCTTTAATGAAATTGATCGATCACTTTCCAGTTTTTACAGCACCACTCAACAACGTTTTTATTCAGTTGTTAATTCCTGTTGCTTCTACTTTGCAGATTTTTCACCAATGTAGATCTGCAGTAAATATCACCCACATGTTTTACTTTGTTAGAGTATGAAGGAGCTTTGATCGGCTGGTCTGGCTTTTGTTTGTCTCATGCACATGCAAGCAGGTAACTTGTTACATCATTTGTGCATATGGTCAAGTGTTTTTTGGTACACATCAATTCTGAATATTAGGGTTTGAAAACGTATTTTCCGCATCGGTACCAGCTGTATTTTATTATGTCTTCTCTCAGACCGACCGACCGACCGACCGACCGACCGACCACACACACACACACACACACACACACACACACACACCACACACACACACACACCCACACACACACACACACACACACACACACACACACACACTAGTCCAACTTCCTCTCACTTTTAACATTTAAAAGAGAGAGGTATTTGAACGTGAGCACTAGATGTCAAAACCTCAAAATATACTTGAAGTTTTGAATTTTTTTAAACATGTGTTATTTTATTATTCAGATAGGAGAAGAGGCAAATGTATAATCTGAGATATTTCATTTTAATAGGTAAGAATGTCCAATGAGGAGTGTAAGTATCTAGCTGTACACCATAGCAATCTTAAAACCCCTGACAGTTTTGTTGAACGTATTTTTCTTCCTAGCAGCTGCTGCAGACGGCTGCAGACTGATACAGCTCACTGAGAAACTAAAACCACACCAAGGAAACCATCCAATAACTACCAACTAATCATCCTCTGGATATTGATTTACACACACACTCAGAGAGTTGGCGAGGGGTCTCTGAGCGCGGCGGGTTTGACCAGCCAGCCAGCCGGGCGGTTCAGTTCTACTGTAGTCAGCTCTAAAGGTTCCCATTGATCTGCCCCTTTCCTTTAATAAACCCTACACACACACACACACACACACACACACACACACACACACACACACACACACACACACACACACACACACACACACACACACACACACACACACACACACACACACACACACACACACACACACACACACACACACACACACACACACACACACACACACACACAGTTGTGAGAAAGGTTGCCGGGTTGAGGAAGCAGGGAGGTGGGACGGGAAAGGAAGGATGGAAGTAAGAAAGGAGGTGAAGGAGAGGAGGAAAGGAAGGAAAGAAGGAAGTAGGAATCCATTTATTGACCACCTCCAGCCTGGAGTTCACTTACTGCACAGAACCTTCTGCTGCCGTTTCCGTTTCTATTATTAGAGCCCTGCTTGCCTTCAAACAGTCTTACATCCTTTTGTATCCCTTCCTTCTTACATCCTATATCATTATTTGCTTGTCCCATTTTCTGAACTTACTTTTAAACGTCCCTCTCCATATGTTACTCTCCTTAAACTGACGTTTGTTGGTTAAAGATATAAATGCATTCTCCTACATCAACACTTAAAACTGATTGATTTTAAAGGGCAGATAAAATGTGTAATATGTGTGCGTTTGATATGTCCCTACTTCCTGTCAGTCTCTATTATCAGCTGCTGTTATAAAGTTAGAGAGTATGTGTGTGTGTGTGTGTGTGTGAAACCTACCTGCATAAACAGAGGGTTTCCATTCAACGACTCTGCTCTCCTGATGTTCTCCACCCCACACTGAAGACACAAAGAAAGGAGATCACACAGGTTTTTTTAATTACCAAAAAATATGCAGCACAGTTCAAATGTTTTAAAACAGGTTGGGTGTAAATCTATGGGGAAAGGAATGTTCATTACAAATTTAGAAGTGTTTCAAAAAGAGTTTAGAGTTAACAACAAGTTTGATTTTGGTGAAACTCGTCTTGACTTTGGAGAGTGGGGACATATTTAGTAAGTAAAGAGATTTTTGGACACGAAAAATGTTTTGGGAGTTTGGGACAGTGAGGACATAGAAATAGGGACATTTTGGAGTTGCGTGTGTGTGTGTGTGTGTGTGTGGCACCAGTCACATTGATTGGTGGCCCCCTCACTGGTGCCTTTACACAGACACACTGCTGCTGACACACACACACTTTTGCCAATTTAAACTCCACACAAAGATAAACCATTAAATAAATTATCTGCTAGGGATGTAACGATACCAAAAACTCACGGTACGATAATATCGCGATATTGAAAAATAAAGAAAGAATTTTGACTTTTTTTTAATTAATTTTTTTATAAATGTCTTTATTAAATAATAAATCTGAGTCGTTCAGCATTTTAGTAGATAGTAGTATTTTAAAGTGTCAAAAATATAATAATCAGACCCTGCAATAAAATAAATCAAGTTCCACTTTAGTTTTTCAAGTAACTCAACTCTAACTCACTCACTCGGCGTCATCAAGGTTATCTTTTAGGAATATGAGCATGTCCACATTTCCAGGTAGAAGCTGGGATGTTTGGGCGTTTACAAAATCCCCTGCTGTGGAAACAACTCTCTTGCTTGGTACTGATGTTGCTGGGACAGAGAGATATGCTTTGGCCATGGGTGACAGCAGTGGGTCAAACTTCATTGTCTCTCCACTTCAAAAACAATACCGTTTTGGCCAAGAAGGTGAGGCTTATTGACAGGGCGAGATATACTGTTGGTACTTGTCAATGTCTCTAGGTGTGTACATGTAGCCCTGTAAATACGATGTCCTTTTGTGTTCCGTTGTTTTATGTTCATGTTGTAACCTACTTGCTGCCATGTTGGACAGGTCTCCCTTGATGATGGGACCATCTGGTTAAATCGCGGTAGATTTTGTCAGTTTCACGACGGTATCGAGACATTTATTTATCGCGATATTCGATATATCGTTACATCCCTATTATCTGCTGCTCACACCTGAACTTTTGAATGAACATCCATAACATTCCTCTGTTTGCAACTATTCTGCACTATTTCTATTCTATTCTATTGTATTTACTTGCACATTTATCTGTGTTATTGTGTTGCACTGTTGGAGGAGCCTGTGACCTCAGATGTTCATGGTCATATCTACACTGCAGCTATGACAGTAAAAGCTTTGAATCTTGAATCAACATCCTCCTTTTGATCCAACAAAAAAATCCAACTCCCTTACCTCCTGCCCCAGCACCTGTCCATACTCGATGTCCAGCTCGTGCAGGGTCTCGATGTGGTCCGAGGTGAAGGCGATGGGCACCAGCAGGATGTTCTTCTTCCCTCGCTCACACAGGCCTTTAATCACATCGTCCGTCTGGGGGCCGAGCCACTGCATGGGCCCCACCTGGAAGACCCAACACCAGACAGGACAACCGTTTTATCCCACAAAAAGGTGGAGATGTATCGCCTTGCACATTACAACAGTTCTGCCACCCTTTAAAACAGAACAAACGGTTATAGACCCGAGAGGACGGTCCATTGTCGAGTTAACGACCTCATTAGATTTCCTCCACTGCTAACTTCACTGAGGCTCCAAGGATACACACTTTGATATTGTGTCTGTAATGAACACTAGGGGGCACTAGTAGGACTTCACTCTTTTAGGTTGTGGTTGAAATGGCCAAATAAATGACATCCTATGTATTTTCCTAACCCTTTTTTACTTGACCTTGATAGAAAACGTCATGAGATCAAGAACATTTGTGAAGGGAATTCATTAAAGCAAACTGCGGTGCTCGGAGAATCCCACTGCAGTCACACTACGATATGCAAATATGGGACTGCGGATGTTATCGATGTTGGTCCACAGTGGAAAGTACAATGTTCGAAACATGGACTTCTAAAAGTGCAGCTTCGATATGTTATCCTGTGCGTTTGTATGTAGATGTCAGCTACATAAACATTGAAAAATACAACTTTGTTAACAAGGTTGAATTAGAAACAGAAATAAAGGCAACCAGTCGAACCAGTTCCAGTTCAAATTGGGATGTTTCCTCACTCCTAACCTCCTGCCCACTCACACTCCCAATTAGTTTGATAGCATACATGACGATCTTTATTCCTTATCCTGTTCGTTTGTTATTGTGACTGGCGTATCTTTATAAAAGCAAAGCATTGTGGGTCAGCATGATGTCCTTTCCTCTGGTAAAGGACGGTCCAGTGTACCCTTTGCTAAATGACATACGGAAAGGGAAGCATTGGATCACCTTTCCTTAGCATTTAGAGAATTCCACCTGCTCTTATCATGGCTGCCATTTGGGAACTGTTGGGTCATTTCTTTCAGTGAGGAAACTTCCTGGGAAAAGCTTTATTCTACCTGAACTCAAGTCTGCTGAAATCAAGCTCTTGTGTGAAACCCCTCTTTAATGGTCTCACATGCAGAGCACCCAGCACACAGTGAAATGTGTACTCTGCTTTTAACTTTTAACCCATCCTAGTACCAGGAGTCTAGCACTAGGAGCAGTGGGCAGCTATTGCACAGCGCCCGGGGAGCAACGGGAGTGAGGGGGGAAGGGGGGTGTCCGGTGCCTTGCTCAAGGGCACCACGGCAGGGCAGGAAGTGAACTGGGACCTCTCCAAGTAGCAGTCCACAGTCCATATTTATGTCTGTTCGGGGACTTGAACCGGCGACCCGACGGCTCACAGTCCAAGCCCCTACCGACTGAGCCACTGCTACAAGTCACACTATAACATACCACAAAAGAAAATCTCTGGTATGGTCTCTTTTTAAAACAAGCATAATATGTCTTAAAACGGGATGTGTGTCCTGTGTTATGTTATTGTGTAGTAAAACACATTGTGTGATTTTCTTCATGCTAAACAGGAAGCCAGCGACGCCTCCCAGTCCTCTTATATTGTGAACAGATGATTGGCTTCAAGAACTATTCATGATGTGGGACTTTTGAGCTCTCATTGCTCTAAAGTAGCTTCAGCATTAGACAGACATGTGGCTCCACCTGGTGGCGTTCAAAGGGAATAATGATTCTGTGATATCAGCATTAAACTGCACAGAAAAAAACTGTACAGCCTGCATTTGTGAATATTAGGGTTAACATGAATACCCTCTATTAAAATTCAACCTCTCCTTCATACCTGGAAATGTATTTTTAAAGATTTTAGGTGAAGTTGGAGACTCAGAATGAGGCCTTGCTGAATAAAAGCTTGAAAATGACAGTGTCATTAATCACTGGCTTATATTTTGGACAGCGTAGCAATAAGCATATTCAGAATGAAAATACCATTACAATTCTGCACCTCAGGAAAAATGTAGTTTCATAATTTATTAATAATATTTAGTTGGAGTTCTGACTGGGACGCGGGAAGTCAGTCAGAGTTGGGGTCCGGGGGGGGGGTGCTAGTGGCGCTTACAGGGGCGGCCCTGTATAATAAGGTCATATTAAATGCAGTCATGTTGTCTTTAGCAACAGCTTGTGAGAGCAGCGCATTCATCGGAGTTCGTTTTAATGCTGCCAGTTTGTTGACGGCCTGTGTGTTGATGGGACTTCTCATGCTCCCTAAATGTTTCCCCTGCCTTTCGCCAGTTGTTAAACCCTGCTTTCACAAAACTCCCATCCCTGATCTCGTCTGCACTGACGAGCTTCTTCTCTATAGCAGAGCGACAGAAGAAGCACACCCCATTATCACTTTCTCTTATATAGTGACGCTTTTTATAGACTGCTTACACTAAAATGCTAACTCAAATAGTAACTAAAAATAAATCTTTTGTATTGATTTGTTTAGTGAACTTTTTGACGTTGCAGTGACAACTCTCCGCCAACAGATGGGGGTGCTGCAGCCCCCTCAGCACCCCCCCTTCCCGCGTCCCTGAGTTCTGATAACGGCTGGTACGTCACTAAGCACTGGCTGCTGTCTGACTCCTCTACAATAGGAGAATGGGTAGATATAGTTAATGACATTAAATAATGGAAAAAAATAATTGTTCTCTTCGCCTACAAATGAAAAGATTTACTAAGTTATATTCAGAATGGGTTGCTTATGTTAGACAGACACTTTATAAAGTTAAAACACTTCTAACCATCAGCTGATGCACAGTTCTACTGGCAAAATAAAAGGTTGCTTGGTCTCCAAAACATATAATTTTGTGTTTGTTTATCTGTTATAAAATGTGCTGGATTGCCCCACACTATGTTACTGTACATTTCAGTGACTATACATCCTTCTGTATCGCCTACAGTTCATTAAAATGGTATAAGGTGCATATAAACAACAGAGGAGAATGAGAAGGGGAGGGTTTCAAGTCGTACTGCTCCTTGATTGCAGATCCTTAATACTCCCCGTTACTGGAAGACTGTTGAGGGTCATTTGAACGTGTACTCACCCTGGACTGCCACACCAGTCTGTAAGGGTTACAGTGCCCCAGTCTCTCCATGACTCTCTGAACTGTGGCCCCCACCTCCTGAGGGTACGGGTCGCCTCGGTTTACCACCTGCACACAGTACAAAGGGGAAGCAGTATTACTAATAGTCGTTATAGTACAGTAGGATGACGAGTAAGAGTAACAGAAGGTAACCAAGTAGCAGCAGCAGGAGTATTATGTGGTAGTGAAAGTATTAACAGCAGGGTCACTAATGCTGTAATGGCAGAGAGTAGTTGTTTGGAGAAGGACGAATCATTTGGAAAGATATCTAGTTGTGATATATATTTGACTGATAATGAATCTACTGCTTTGATGTTGCAGGAATACTTACAGCCATAGGAAGCGAGTGTGCGGAGAACAGAATGACGACGTCGTCTCTCTTGTCCTCTGGAAACTTCAGCAGCTCGTTTTTGACGTGTTCTGCAAAACACTACACACAAAGAACAAGGGTTCAGAAATAAAGAACGAAAACAATTCTTGAATGATAATGGCTGACTGTTTTTCAGGTTTACTCATTATTTTACTGCCTTTTTATAACGATACTAAGGATATTTCAGAAAGCATGTATTTATTATGTGTCATTGTTTTGTTATGTATGTTTATTTATATCTCGCATTAACATTAATATTTTGTATTTAATGTTACTTTTTTCTTTCTCTGTACTCAGGTCTCACTTGTAAATAAGATGTCAGTCCAGTTCCTGATTAAATACACTAAATATTTTAGGCATTTTTTGCAGATATTTCCGTCTTTAAAAAAAGAAAAGAATGCAGAAACAAAAACAGTTAGGCCACTTTCGAATCCGTGTATCGACCGTCCATTTGTATTTCTTTATTAAACGGAAGAGCGTCTGAGAGGCCTTTTCGCTTTACTAAATGGTCTAATGGTCATTGGAGCGAGGGGCGGGGCGAAACTCACGGAAGTGATTTCAAAACAAAAGCACTCGTTTGCTCGGAACGGTGATAATATTACAAACAAGGGGAAACAAGGTGAATTTAGCGATCACAACGACACACATTGAGCCCGGAAAATGAATGTTATTAAGGCTGTAAATATAATAAGCCTATGTCTAAAATGGAGGACATTGTTAAGAGATTTAAACTATACAGCGATTCTGCACTGCGGTCAACTCAGCCGTCTCTCCACTTTGTTTTTTTCATATCAGCTGCTCTTCATTTTTTGTCCTGCTATATTTGATGATCGATACAAATATTTGTTAATAAAACTGATACTGTTGGACTCGGTACTAGTTTGACTGCTACCAGAAATAAAATGAAGTACTTTTACGGTGTACTTTGTGAGTAATCCTCAGAGTCCCCTCCATAGTACATAATGCACGTTTTCTGCTATCTTTGATGAGTGATAAAAATACAATGTTACCATTAGTTCTTAATGATACTGCTGGACTCAGTAGTCTTACACCTACTACCACAATACAATGAAGTACTTCTCGTGTGTTGTTTAAAAAAAATTAAATTCACCTTGTTTCTAGGGATGGGATTTTGAAAGCAAATGTATATTCGAATATTCGATTAATCGTTCCCATGTTTCCCCCCCTGTAATATTATCACCGTTCCAACCAAACGAGTGCTTTTGTTTTGAAATCACTTGCGTGAGTTTCGCCGTTTAATAAAGAAAAACAAATGGACGGTAGATACACGGATTAGTTCATTTCCTGTGTGTGTGTGTGTGTGTGTGTGTGTGTGTGTGTGTGTGTCTCACCTCCACCAGCAGAGGGTGTGTGGGCCAACGGTCGATGACGCTCCAGCGCATCTTTGGACTGTCTACTCTGTTGCTGTAGTAACGGTAGATGGCGTTCAGACTGCTGCCTGTTAAAACAGAAACACATTCATATTTGAGTCATTACACAACATGTTCCGTCCTCTGTCAGCCGCTCAGCCGCTCCACTGTAAGGTTGGACATAAAGTGCCTTGCTTGAAGGCACGAAGAGGGGAAATTAAACATATGATTAAAAAAAAGGGGAAAGCATCATCCGAGTCAGTGTTTCTGTTCAAAAGATAAAACATATCAGAGAGAGATACAGATACATACAATTTAATAATGTTGGTACTGACTTCTTTTATACGTTTGCTTACGTTGATAATGCTGCTACATATCCCTTTCTGTGGATGTGTACTTTTGAGATGTGTTGTTTAATTTTAGGTAATTTCTTTTTTACGAGTACTATGTGTTATTTTATTTTGCCTTTTATCTGCGCTGTCTTTGTACAGATGTGTGTGTGCATGTGTCTGGGGATGAGCAGTAAAGCCTGTATGCGAGTGCCTAAAAACGTTATGTACACATTGGTACATTCTTATATAACTAACGTGCTTTATATATTAAGGCTTAAAGTCAGCATTTTAGGGGCGTGGCCACTTTGAGTGACAGGTCTTAGGTCGTTAATTGCATGATGTCTGCTTCAATACATAAGTACCAGGGTTTCCGTTAGCCGGTAATTACCGGTTTTTAGCTGGTAACATTTATTAAAAACCGGTAAATTCAAAACCTGCCGGTCAAAATGTCTGGTAATAATTAGGGAGGCTCCGATAGATCGGCCGCCGGTCATTATCGGCCGATATTCACTCTTAATAGTTTGATCGGTGCTCTCTATAAAGGCCGATCAGGAGAGCTGGATCTGATCGATATGGACATAAACGCGAGTGAAGTGTAACCGGACCCGAGAGAGAGATCAGATCAGCTGCTGAGTCAGACCGAGACACGCAGCTCTGCATAATCACCTGAAGCCCCGCCTCTGTTTAGCGAGCTTTAGGAGCTGCATGAGAAACTGACGGGCTGTCAGAGAGAGAGGGAGGGAGAGGGGAAAAGAGAGCATCCGTTTCTCCCGTGTTATTATTCAAAGTTAATGTAAACTTTTGAATAATGTACGTTATCTACTACAAGTAGTTTGTTTGAATGTAATAATTATGTTGTTTGTTGTTTGTGGAATAATTTATTGGAAAATGAATCTAAATTTTTCCATCCGTTACGATTATAAACTGAAGCAATATAAAAATGAGCCCATTAACTGTGTTTTAAACTGAAGCATATCCTGTCATAGTCCGGTAATTACCTGCTAACGGAAACTCTGCTACACAACTATTATTGAAATATGACCGGTAAGTTTCAAATTTGTCCGATAAAATTAATTCTGCCCGGACATTTGACCGGCGAGAAAAAATCCTAGCGGATACCCTGATAAGTACACCCATTTCTTTGATTATTCAGGAGTTAGACATGTCACCAAGATGGCGACATCCCTAGCCACCTACACGTGTGTGAGTGTGTGTGTGTGTATGTATGTATGTATGTATGTATGTATGTATGTATGTGTGTATGTATGTGTGTATGTGTGTGTGTGTATGTGTGAGAGAGTATGTGTTTATCAGAGGGTCACAGGGTGGATGGCAGTTAGGGTGTGGGCACACTCAAAAAAGTCTCAACAAATGTCATCTTTTCTGCATCAATGTGATCTTTAGAAAGGCGTTCTCTACAGCTCACAGAGGAGCAGCTGTTGTCGGGAGGCTTTACGTTACATCTGTTTCTCCGCTGTGTGAGCCTACCTGTGGTGGAGCAGCTGTACTGAGGATACTGCGTGAAGGCCACCGCTCTCTCCACTCCGTCCTTCTCCATCTCCTCGATGGCTTCCTCCGTCAGCGGGTGAACGTACCGAAAACCGATGTAGAACTTGTGAGGAGCTGAAGAGAGAACACACTCATTACTGCGGTCACTGGCTAGGGAAAAACACAAGGTTGAAACACATTCATCTGGCATTTGCATATTAAAGTGGACCTGTCATGCTATATATAAAACATGTATTTTTTAAAAATACCAAACAGATCACCCATTGTAGCCATGCCTCATACTGCTCAAACCGCTCTTTTGCAGCCCTGTTAGAGAAACGCAGATTTTGGGTCCTTAGCTTGAAATAAATAAATAAGAGGAGGCGGAGCTATTGCCTGATCAGAATTCTACCGGAGATAAAGTTAAATTCTGTTGTGATAAAACGCCATCCTGTTCTAAACCACGTCAAGGATTCTTTCTGAAACAGTATGGAGCTCAAATGCTTTTTCTCTTGCGGGTTTATCACAAGGTGAGTTCCTTTTTTTATTTCCTGCTTTTTAAACACATGTGCTCTACAGTACAGGTTAGCTCTGAGTGTTAGCGAGGCTTGCTAATGTAAACAAAGATGTCCAAAACACGTCAGGCATTGTTTCTGATAGCAACTTTCTGTGGGTCCACCGCCGATTTGACGTCAGATCGGCAGCCAATCTGTATCCGCTCGTTGTACACCCGTTTTAAAAGATTTGGGTACGGAGGAAAAGAGAGACGGTTTTATTTTCTGACGCTGCGTGAGTTCCCTGACACACACATATTTATGTATAAAAGACATCACAAAGTGCATTTTGCATGATAGGTCCACTTTAAGGGAATTGTGTGACTAATCCATTAAATACATACGATATTACTTTGATGGTCAGATCAAGTCTGACATTTTACTTGCATCACAGCAGCTCCATGTTTAACATCAACAAGGACATATATCAAGACCGCTACTTGTTTGTTTCGTTATTACACAGACTTAGTTATTATATAAAAAATAAATGGGTTGTTCTACTCTGATGAGGTTAGTGATGTCACAGGGTTTGGCCACTTTTCAGAGCGAGTGTTGTGTTGTTATCAGCGAGGTGTGTGCAGGCGTGACAAGACACTCCTCACTGTGTCACTATCTTCACTTCACACACAGTCTGCTGCCAACCAGCAAGACACACAACAGCTCTGTTATATTACGACATCTTAAAGCCCCTTACAGACAGAAGCAGCTCAGTCAGTAGGATTGGGAACTGAAGGGTCTCCGGTTCAAGTCCCAGAAAGGTCCCAAGTAAAGAGTCTGAACTGAGGCTAAAAGCTGCCAGGTCGCTTTCTTCTTTCGATAGGAGGGAGAGATGTCACTGTGTGTGGTGCTGTGCACAGGTGTGACTATTAAACGAGGCCTTGTTAAAATCCTCCGTTCTTATTTGAATTTAATCGATCCTGATTAGCAAGGCACCATCAAAGACACAAGACTGCATTGCTGTGTGTGTCAAATGGAAATCAAGAATGCTTTAACCCCAAGAGTAACAAGTACTTATAGTTACTAATAGTTCTGATATGGAAGTACTTTTTCAGCTGGTGAACGTCCCATAAGTAGCTGTAAGCTGAGTAGCAAAGTAAATGCAATTTATTTGAAAGGTAGGATTCTTTAAATGCAGATACCTACTGTAGTTTGTGTGTACTTCAGATCCCAGATGGCTGAGGGTTGACCTGTGTGTGTGTGTGTGTGTGTGTGTGTGTGTGTGTGTGTGTGACAATTGAAAAGGAATTCATTTCTGATGATAGGTCCTCCCTGATGATTAGTCAGTAATCTGAGCAAGGACTCATGTAAAAAAAAAAAAGGTGCTTTATGTGACAATTATGCAGGAAAATCTAAATGATGTGAAGTTAATTTTAATATAAGTATAGCATTTTCTAGCCAAGAGCGATGCAAAGCAGGGACGGCAAACTAGCTAACTGTTACCCAAGCTAAGGTTAGCCAGCTACACGGCATGGATCAAGGTTGTTAGCTTCTTAACGTTAGTTGATGAAGTTATATAGTAGTATCGTAGAGTAAATGGTCCAAATAAAATTCAGTAGGATCACAGATCGTGTCATTATCAGGATACGTATAATGATTTATGAGTGTAATGTAGTGTCACGTGGCTGTTTGATGACGGGGGGGAAGAAGTGTCTCACCCGTGTCAGGGCTCATCTCGTCCAGCAGCTTCACCATGCCCTCCCCCTGCATGGAGGTCCAGTGTTTGATGGGCGAGCCCCCCCCGATCTTACTGTACTGCTCCTGGATCTTTGGAGTCCGTCGCCTAGCGATGAGCGGGCCGAGCTGTCTGTAGAGCAAACGGCAGGTTTTTTAGAACAATACACAAAACAATGTATTCCTATATAACAAATCACCACTGGCTGGCAGAGAACTATCAAAAGACTCAAAGGTTTTATCGTCATATGCACAAAGCTACAGAGTAGAAATGGCAATGAAATTCTTCTGACCTGAGCTCTTCCAACAATGAAACATATAAAATAAAATACAAAAATACAAAATTAAAAGTAGTGCAAAAAGTCTATATATATATATATATATATATATATATATATAGCTTCCTGGACAACTGGACTCCAAATCACACTGTACATTTCATATCCTAATATGTAATATTCCATAACTCACATACTTATGTATATATAATATCCTGCTTTATATTTAGTCACTGTACATTTTTAATTCAACATGTATATTTTCTTCTTTTGCTATTTCATTGCTATTGAGATGTTGACATTTTTAAATGTTTATTTCTTGTCTTTTAATTTTATTGAACAACGCCATGTCTTTTTATGCTGCTGCAACACAAACATGTCCCAACTTGGAATCAATAAAGTACTTCTCATCTTATCTTATTCATGAATCTTCCAACTGAATATATTCTACAAGATTACCGCTAAAAAAAACATCTTCCATCAATAAAATGTGTGTGTTTGTATTTGTGTGTCCATGGTGCATACTTCTGTACAGGCAGCTGAATCAGGTCTGTGTCCATGAAGAGCCGCCGCAGGAAGTCATGAACGTCTGATAGTTTCTCCGGTCCTCCCATGTTCAGCATCAAGATGCCAGTCTTAGGTTTCCTGCAGGCACAACAGATTCATTATTAATAATTAATACCAAACACATGTTGATTTGTTATTACATTACATGTTAGACGCTTTTATCCAAAGCGACTTACATACTCAATACTGTGGGCAATCCACACAGGAGCAATTTGGGGTGAAGTGTCTCAGGGACACAACGACATGATGACTGCAGTGGGGTTTGAACCTGTGCTCCCCTGATCAGAACACCAACGCACTAGCCCACTGCGCCACACGCCTCCCTATTTGTTCTGATTATTAAAGTCAAAAGACAAGGTCCAAGCCATTTTTAAACTATTGTCCCCATAGGCTATAATGGTAATTAGTGCTAATTAACAAAACGTATGCTAATTGCCCAACATATGCAAGTTAGCATCCGGCAGTTTCTACTGTATGTGCTGGGGACCCGTACTGTACATTTTTCACATAAAACATTGGGGTATATTTTCAGGTTCACTATAGAAGCTGGCAACTAGACTAATAACGTATTGTTTAAATATGGAGATTAACCGACAACTATAGACAGTCCGTCAGCCGCTCAACGATGTAAGCACTTCAGATCCCAGATGGCTGAGGGTTGTCCTGTGTGTGTGTGTGTGCGTGTGCGTGTGTGTGTCACCTGTTGTCCTGTATGTCTGGAGTCTGGGCAAAAGCAGCAGCAGTGGAGCGTCTCCTGACACTCAGACTGACGCTGCTCCTGGCAACTACAGAAGAAGAAAACAGGTTATCTATGAATCTGTTGTAAATATACGGAGAAAGCACATTCGCTTTCATACACTTAATGCATTCAAAATGTTACCCCTCTGAAATGTTTAGTGTAAAACCAAACCGGTTGTTCGTTTTTTCTTATTGCAACAAATTCATAGTTATTATTTATTATAAATACGCATGTGGATATACATCATTTCCTAATACCACATATTTGTTTAAGCACATCGGATTTGTTTTTCACCTCTTGAATTTAACTAAAAGAGACATATGTTTTTTTTCTCAAGCATTCAGTGGTTGTTTTTTCTACTTCCTCCATCAATAGTTTAATTTAGAAAACTTTAAGAAATGTGTGAATACACTCAAACTATTCATTCATCAATGATTGAGTAATCTGTATTTGGGACCGGGTATTAGTCATGAGAGGAGCCCGGCTGCACCATTACATCAAATGAAAATAATCTACAGTAGATGTCATGTGAATTAAATTATACCGATAAAAGTACAATACATTTGGCTTCTTTGGAAATGTTGGGATCTCCAACTAAATGTTCACAAAGTTATGTTAGTTACAAAAATGTCTGACAAGGTTACATAAGTATGATAAGTAAAATAGTGGGTCCATTATCCTTAAATGACCTTAAGTGAAGCTAAACAAACCTTTATAAATAGTACGCTGATATCAGAACCAGTTTGTGAGGGGGGGGGGACAGAGACAACAAGCTGCAGAAGATGCAATATATTCTGATTTGTGTAAATGCACTGTATGAATGTCTAATTTTAAAGTCTAACACATAAATCCGCTTTACTTTCATAACCCTGAGCTGCAGTACCACGAGGCGCCACCAGAGGCAGGCTGTCATTATGCAAGTTCACAATGCTGGAATTGTGTAACTACGTTTAAATGTTAAGTTATTCCTTATTCGCCGTTAAAACTTGGACAATTAACACTTTTTACTGATCCTCTGGTGGAAAATAAATGCAGAAAGGGATAAGTCCAGTATGCAACATTAACGTTTAACTGTAACCTACAGTACAGTTGGGTATCGTCAAACTAACGGGCGTTAGTCTAGTTCCAGAAACAGCGCATTTTGTTTGCAAAATAAAAGCACATTAGCGGAGACCCTCCAGCAAATACTAGGATTTAGAATTTAAAAAATGGCAAACATGAAAAGGCTATACCACTTTAGTTCAGTTAAAGTGGAACCACGTGGATGCTGACTTGATAAATGTCAATAAAACAAAGAATTGCGCTTTAAATTCACAGCAATAGTTTTATTGTGAAAGTTCTGACCGGAAGTTGTACTTCCACATCTTTGCTAACTTTACGAAACGAAGCCAATGTCAGCGTGTTGTTGAGTTTACACTATGTTTAATCAAACAATCATCACTCGAAACTGAATTAGTACAGCATGAAAGAAACACAGTAGCACAGTTCACTTTGTGACAATACAAAAGCGAAATTATGACACTTGAAGATATCAATGCACATATTTAACCAGGCTAACTTAGCTCACAGTCACACTCACATTGTATTAAACGACCCGCGCTGCCAAAGACTGCCATCATGATAGTTTCCGTTGTCAATGCCAGTAAACGTCCTTGTCCCCACTGTTATGAAGGCCGGATACTTAGTAATAGTCCACGAGTATTTCCCCACACTGAGTAACTCGCAGCCCGGTGTAAGGACAGATTGCTTCAGCTACTACCGGCTGGCTGCACTGAGTCCCTCCCCTGTCAAAATTGGCAACGATAGCTTTAACACTTCCGGTTTAAAATTTCAATGTAAAACTACTAGTGACACAAGTGGCATGATGCAGCAGTTTGGAGAATATTGTAATCGTTTGCAATCGCACATGATGGACGCGTTATTCACCTATTCACTTCTTGTCATTATTTGTATTTATTACATTATACTTTATTTACAAGTTTATTGTAATTATGGTATTTTTATTACTATCATATGTGTCTTTTTATTCCTCTTATATGTTCACTTTGTTTTATGGGGTTTTATGTATTGTTGCATCGATTCAGTTGTCTTGTGTCTTATCTGTCAGAGAGAAACCATTATTTTATGTTTGTTATCATACATTTTACCTCCTTGTGTCTATGAACCTGATAAAATGTTGTATTTTGCCGCAAAATGTATTTTACCTTTTAAAATTCTTAACAAATAATCTGAGGGGAATTTCTTAGTGTATATTTTTAACTTGTGATGTGTCATTTTGTAAAGCACTTTGAGCTGCATGTGTTGTATGAAAAGTGCTATATAAATAAAGCTGTATTAGTATTATTATCACCTGAATGTCCTCCTAGAGCACCATTGTGTTCTTTTTAACCAAATCTCTCTCAGAGGGGCGTGGGGAGGGGCTCCTTATTTTCATCTGAAGTAACAGACAGAGAATCAGCACTTTGGAAACAGGGCTGAAACAGAGGGGATTATGGGATGATGCAATAATCTGTTTGGTGTTTGGAGCCAAACACTTCAGAGACATGTTCTGTATATATCTGAGACCTGTAATATATTGATGAAAAACAGTATAATAGGGAACTTCAACATCAGCATAGCAGAAGACAACAGATGTCTCCCCCCTGGATGTTGAACCCGAGCACCTGCATGAAAAACCAATGATTAGACCTCTACTTTCAATTGCTCTGAAAGTTTCAACAAGTGCACGTGTCTTTAACAACATCTTTGAGTTGATACCATATTTAGTTTCACTTCCTCTGACCAGTCCCCCTTTTATTTGGAAGCGTTGTATCCAGTTGTACACAGTGCAAGGAGACACACAGTGACTCTTCTCTGTCAATACATATTTTAAAAGCTTACAGCAACTAAAATAAAAAAAAATCCTGGAGGGAAATCCTTTATATCTTAAACAGATGTTATTAATGTATACCAGCAGTGGAAGTGTTAGGAGGTGTGTGAAGTGATTTTGGTAGAACTTGACTTTAAATAACAGGGACCTATTTTAATATTGCATTGCAGTCTGCTTACTAGTTCAATCAAAACAACAATTGTATTAAGTGTCATTGTTATTTCTCTTTTTTTAAGTAGGACACGAGCGGCAGCATTTCCCCCCGAGTGTGAATAATTCCATACTTTTATGTTGGATGTATGTTCGCCATTTCCGGTCTGGAGCTATCTCACTCTGGTTGTTTTGGCGCAGAGCCGTAATTTTTGCATGACGTCACATCTACGTTGTCTTTATCAACCCAACGTCATCCGTGTGTGTGCGTGTGTGTGTGTGTGTGTGTGTGTGTGTGTGTGTGGGGGGGGGGTGTGTGTGTGTGTGTGTGTGTGTGTGTGTGTGTGTGTTCTAAAATCATTTTTAAGAATGAAACTTTACGCATCTTTAAAGTGAATGCTAAATATGTTGGGAGTACTGTGACTGTGTTTTTGAAACTGCTCTAGTGTTTTTTCAACAACTCCTTCCTTCCTTTCAAAACCAGTTCGTGAGAATGAAACAGAAAACCAAGGAGGAACCAGGAAGAGTCTTTCAATAAACACAAAGCACACCTTTGTCCTTCACTGACCAAGCATAACACCTTCACTTATCCATAAAGGTTTGCATAAGTGTTCTTCATTTTTTAATGCTACATTAATTTACATTCCATAAATAATAGTGTTATGTGACATTATAGTGATTTTACAGTAAATGAAAGGAACGTTTACTTCAACCAGCGCTTTATGGATATTTTGTAGGTATTCAAATATAAACAAAAATGACTGATTATTCTAAAACATACTTTTTTACTTCATTACTGTAATTCCCTATATTATACTCATTTTTCAGATGTCTTTATAAAACGTGTTTTTTATATGAAAAACGACTGAAGTCTGTCATGTTGATTTTTAAAGATACATTTTTGGGCTATATGTAAAGGTGGGGTAGGTAATTTTGGAGAAACCAGCTCGAGTGCGCTAGAATTTGAAAATACACAACCGGAAAAAATCTGCCACTTCCTTACAGAGCCCCTCCTCCAACACACACGAACGCGCACATGACCAATGAGGGCAGAGATAAATTGCATAAGAAGTGCACGAGATGGAAGGCTGACAGGCAGGTAGGCCATCCAGTTACTTATCCGGGCCGGCTCAGGTCGTGCTTTTTACAGCGCCACGGCTTCCACGGATGAATTTTTGTTATCGGGATGTTAAGAGCATTCCATGGAATATAACAAAAAGTGTATCTGAAATAAATTACATACCCCACCTTTAATATAATACACACTATACTTGGAATAAAACCTATTGCCTCCATTACATAAGAAAATGTGACATATAGATGAACTTGGTTGTCTTTAGATGAACAGAGAAAGCATCGAATTTGAATCTGATAGTTAGATCAAATATTCAGCTACAATGTGGTGTTTTAGTCAACATTAGAAAACGAGAACAAGAGTTACAAATATATCTACAAACACAGATGTTTAACAACCTAACCTAAAGAAAAGCCTGAATCACATGTATTCAGTGCAGTTTATTGAGTTGAGTGTTTTAACTAAGGAGGCAGAAACACAAACACGAGAGCAGACCGTTTCTCTCACATTTATAAACCATCAATCCTGAAATGGAAAGGCTGCTCTGAACGTTCTTTTTTAACGTTCCCAAATACATGAAAAGCGCACAAAAGCAGCGCTGTTGATTCGTTGCTTAAGCGTTGGTCAATGATGTGTGTGTGAGTGTGAGTGTGAGTGTGTACCTAGTACCTTCACTGTTTTTACACCACAACTAACACACAGAAAACACCAACATATTTCAGCCACTGAAGAACTTCTCCGAGGTCATTTATTTCTGAACATCTCAAGGTCTTCAACAATTCCTGACATTCAACATGTTTTTCCACAGAAGCGCATTGCATTTAAAGAAAACTCGATTGAGACATTTTTTAACAGCACTTCCACACAATCGCAGGAAACTTAAGTGCTTATTCTTGTTAATGATCCACCAATTCGAACATGATCAGAGGAAGAAATTCTCTCAGGTTTCACGTCAGAACAAATCGGAAAAAGCTGTGAGGTTTGAGGCGGAGCAAAGCAGGCGGCATCTCCAACTGGACGTAGTTCGATAGAAAAACAGAATAGGGACAAAACAGTATGATTGGATTTGATACCGTAGCAACACATTTAATGTTTCCCATGCCAAGAGAGTGTGTGTGTGTGTGTGTGTGTGTGTGTGTGTGTGTGTGTGTGTGTGTGTGTGTGTGTGTGTGTGCGTTCAGGGCCTGCAGCGCTGGATGAAGCGTGGGTACAGGCAGACGTCTCTGATGTGATGTCTGTTCAGCAGCCAGGTGAGGAAACGCTCCAGACCCAGGCCGTAGCCGCCGTGAGGACATGTTCCGTACTTCCTCTGAAACACACACACAGCAGCCGGTTAACACACGTTAGTAACAAGACAGGTAACACACAGTAAGGCGAACGCGCCCTCAGGGCAATTCAAGAGAGGCTTTGTCCACGATACGCTTTATGGAATCAGACGTGCTGTTTTAACGGGTTTCAATAGGGATTTTTTTGTCTGCATTTTAGACACACACTTTATCAGACTTGTTAAAAGGAGCTGAGCTTCATAGACACACACACACACCCTTGCCTTCCGTTATCCCATAATGCATTAACAGTCAAAATTGTTAAAAAAGCCCAAAATACCCCGTAGTGATGCATCACCCATAAAATATCACCAACATTTACCCAAGCTGCTTCCGAATGTGCAACAGACAATAAAGCAGCGGTGGTTTCTGTTACCTGGTCAGTGTACCAGTAGTAGGGGGTGGGGTCGATTCCCTCCCTCTTGTACCCCTCCAGCAGCTCCTCACTGTCCCAGATACGCATCGAGCCTCCGACGATCTCGCCAACATTCGGCATCAACACATCGACCTGCAACACACACACACACACACACACACACACACACACACACACACACACACACACCCACACACACACACACACACACACACACACACACACACACACACACACACCACACACACACACACCACACACAACACACACACACACACACACACACACACCACACACACACACACACACACACACACCACACACACACACACACACACACACCACACACACACACACACTCACACACACACACACACACACACACACACACACACACACACACACACACACACACACACACACACACACACACACACACACACACACACACACACACACACACACACACACACACACACACGTCATCAGAGAGAACGACACTTCAGGGCCTCGATCCAAAATCTGTCTTAGATGTAGAGCGTCAGTGTCTGTGCTCCATTCATACATTTATTTACTTTAAACAGAAACTCTCTGCAATAAGACTGTACTGAAGGTTTTAAAGCTCTTACTGAGTTTTTTTAATAGAGCTTTATGTCAACAAATATTAACTGAAGCAGAATATTTTGTTAAATTACAACATCTTGTGAATTTCAAAAAGATTTACATCCAGTGTTTTGAAATAAATGTGGAGTTTTTGGATCACAACATTTGAAGAAAATATCCACCACCACTTCAATCTAATCCTTTAAATAGTATGATGCTAATAATATCTGTGTATTCTAATCTGTATCTAGTCCAGGGGCGGGGAACCTCCGGCCTCCGGTCAGGGTCCTTGAACACAACACGAGCCTAACGTGTCATCACGTGGTATATGTCTCGTCTGACAGGGGGCAGTTCTGATGGAGAGCACCAGAACGCGGCTCCGGCACTCCAGAAATTGCAGTACCCATAAGGAGCCGTACACATGCTGCAGTTTCTGCGTGGCTGTGTCTTTAGTTGAAAGCCCAGTGGCGATCTGTTCATCTGTCATACTGATCATACAGTCAATAACTTTGTTGTTATTAGCATCTGGTTAGCTAGCTATGCTAACGAATATAAGAAGCTTTTTCTACAACCAGTGAGGTAAAGGCACATCTTTATATGATCATTATAGTTATAAAACAAATAAGAGAATAAAGTAAACAGGTATAAAATACTATATGAGAGTAAAAAAAGTTGTTATTAATAAACAAGAATACAGTTTGAAGGGAGAGTGATTTGTAAAATATCCATAAAGAAAAATTAAATCTGCTTCCAGTTCTGTTTCATCTGGGTGTTGAGAGATGTTTCCATAGATCTCCTAATGTTGCTCTCAAAGTGCACCAGATTGATGCTTTTAACTTCAACATTTAAGAAAAAATGTTCCCGGGGGAGCATGCCCTCCGGACCCCCCTAGAGGAGGGTGGTCCCCCCCCCCCCCACTTAAATCATGTTCACATGGATAGGAAACTAAATACATTTGCACACATCTTGTGTCCATATCTTACTGTTTTGGTGGTCATGCCACAACCGTGCACGTGCATGCATACTAGGGGTGTAACGGCATACGTACCCGTACCGAATCATTCGTTCGGTACACGTGTGTACCGAACGAATATAACGTTAAACGTAAAAAACTGAGAACGTGAACAACTTCTTGGAAGTAATCTCAGGTGCTGCGTCGCAGCATTCAGAGTAATTTGCTCACATTGGGTTCAACGCGTCATAAAGCGAGCAAGTAATTTCATTGGACGAGAGGCATACTATGAGAGCTGGTCACAGGGATGCGTTCAAATGTAGTCAGTAATTTGAGAAACTGTCGAAATGGCGAACGCAGATAAAGTTGAGCTCGAAAATCCTCCAGCATCATTGAAGTCTCCGGTTTGGGAACATTTTGGTTTCGCAGTTACGAACAAGGATGACGGACAAAGACAGGTGGACCGAACCAAAGCTGTTTGTCGGCATTGTTCAACTAACATTGGTTACGCGGCTGGCAATACATCAAACGTGCACACTCTTGAAATGGCATCACCCGAACGTGAATATCACCGGTACCAAAAGACTGAAGTGCAAACCCAACTCCCGCTAGCATTTAAGCCTCCACCACTCGCAAAGAGTTCAGACCGAGCCAAAGCTATTACAAACGCCAAATATCCTTATGTTGCCATGTTAGCAAAGCGCTACCTGGCTGTATCTGCTACCTCTGTCCCTAGAGAGGGTTTTTTTCCACAGCAGGAGACATTGTTAGTGCCAGCAGATCTGCCCTTTCGGCAAGCAATGTGGACAAGTTCATCTTTCTTTAAACAACATGAAAATACAATGACAAGCAAGTCCTAATGTCAAGCTGGCTGCTTAGGTACTAGTACAGTACAGATTATTTCAGTTCATCGAAATGCTGCACCTTAATGTTTATATTATATTTTGTATTTATTTGAGTGAATACATTATTCACAGTTTAATAATAATTTAAAAAAAACAAAAAAGATGTTTTTTGATAATTTTTCTGTTGTACCGAAAACGTACCGAACCGAACCGTGACCTAAAAACCGAGTTACGTACCGAACCGAAATGTTTGTGAACCGTTACGCCCCTAATGCATACGCGAGTCATGGTAAGATGTCTGGATTAAGAGGTTGCTTTTTCTTTGCACAGCATGAAAGAAAGGCCAAATGAATGGGCTGTGATTTTAGTATTTTTTAAGCAGAGGTCCATCATTTGTACGGCGCTCGGAGGATGTTGTAAAAATGTAAATGGCCCTTGAGAGGAAAAAGGTTCCCCACCCCTGATCTAGTCTATCTTTATTAACTTAATAAAATATCGTCTTCGAAACACAAACAGGAAAACTGCCAATGTAAACAATATCACAACGTTTCAAGCCCTACACTATAATACCCAGCTGTATTGGATTGAATAGAATAGATCTTTATTGTCATCATACAAAGTACAATGACATTTCTTTGGCAACTCTCACTGCAGTCAAAAAATAGACACAAATAAATAAATTGTGGTAAAAGCGGAGGTCGTAGCAATGACAGTGCAACGAGATACAATTAAATGTCAATATGCATATTTACACTTACAGTCTAAAGACGTTAAATGTACAAAACTGTATACATGTAGTGTATTTCTAACTGTGTGTTCATAAAGGGTTTTAGTAACCAAAGGAAGCAAGTCACATAGCCATTAATATTTTAAATAGTAGTGGTCTTTGAGGGGCGGAGGTGTGTTTATGAATGTTCACAGATGAATGCCACTCTCCACCCCCCCCATCCCAAAGTTGAACCCCCCCGGTCCGTACCGACTCGGTGAGGCGCCTGTCGTCGGCGCAGCGCTGCATGTAGAAGGATTTGATCTCAGCGGGGAAGCGGCAGAGGAGGATGGTCTCGTTCAGGGCGTCCGTCATCAACCTCTCCGGAGCCTCGGGGATGTCCTGAGAGAGGGACACACACAAACATCAGGAGGAGGTTCCTCAGCCTGAGGTCGAGCACCACCCGACTAAAAAACGGTATTTTCCACCAGGCTGTCAGGAGGCTGATCCCTCTCCCCCCTCTCCTCCCACTGGACTATAACACCCCACACACACACATTCAAGCACCAGACACTTTTCTTTACGCTGCTATGAACAGTCTTGCACTAATGTACATTCTCAAAGATATTGAAGTGACTGTTATTTTGTATATATGGATCGTTGTGTTTTATTTAGGTCTTAATGTGTGCTTATGTATAAATGTGTCTTTTGATTGTGTAGACTCATAACATGTAGGTATATACATATTTTTATATATCTTTGTTGTTGTATTCGGGGATTGTGGGAAACGGTATTTCGATCTCTCTGTCTGTACACACAAACTGAAAGATTGACAATAAAGTTGACTTTGATATCAAGAGAATGGCGGTGCTAATAATGTGACTTGATCTTGGTGTTTGCTCATCATCCGATTACTTCCGCCATGATTCACAAACCCATCAGTGTCCGACATGAAAACGCTCTCCTGCAGCTACTTTGGTTTCTCCTCAGATATTCTAAAGTGTGTGTCTGTTTCTGTGTGTGTGTGTGTGTGTGTGTGTGTGTGTGTGTGTGTGTGTGTGGTGTGTGTGTGTGTGTGTGTGTGTGTTCAGCGGTCACCTCTCCAAACTCGTAGAAGGAGCCGTCTTCCTTCTTGATGTCGTGCTCTCGGAGCCACTCGATGGCTTCAGTGTAAGCCATCCTCTTGAACGGCCTCTTGGGTGGTTTGAAGTTCTGGGGGGGAAACAAATTACTATATTTACTACATTAATATCAAAGAACTTCGATGTGCTTATTAAGACCATTGTGATGAAAATGGAGCGTAAGTTGAGATATCAGTGTCATTTTTTTCAAATAAAGCTTTCAAGTAAAGCCTGTCGTCAAACTTTTATACATGTGTTTCATCAACTTGTTTCAGCACTAATTGAATATCAATTCAAATGCAAGCTGTGATTGAACACACTCCCAGATATTGAGAAAAAGGCGGCGTACGGGGTTGATGTCGTAGAGCAGCTGAGCGGCGGGGGACTTCAGCACTCGGTCCACCACGTCACACACCAGGTCCTCCAGTCTGTTCAGCAGGTCTTCAAAAGAGATGAAGGGACACTCGGCCTCGATGTGAGTGTACCTGAACAAACAAAGGTATTTATTTAAATCAGAAAGCGGGAGGACGACAGGCTTAGTTTCATCAACTGTTACTTATAAAGCCCAATAACAAAATAAAATTGTTTAGTAAGATCTCTTAGAACAGGGACCAAATCCGGCACGCAACCTCATTGTATGTGGCCAGCAAGAGCTTGCAAAGAATATAATCCGTTTATTATACGGTTACATGCCGCTTTACAAAAACATGTTGCCCATAAACTACATATCCCACAATGCATTTCGTTTTGTGACATGCGCACTGAAGAGAATTGCAATGATTTGCCCTAGACTTCTGCTTTCAGAAGTAGTTATGTATCAAGTTATTACCCTATCCGATAATAATCCAATGCAGAAGCAATAATGTAATATAATACATTATATATATATATATATATATATATATATATATATATATATATATCATACATTTATATATGTATATTTTTTTATTGTCTTAAAGTTACAACCGGCCCTTTTGAGTGCAACAATAATTCTAATGTGGCCGGGAATGCAATTGAGTTTGAAACCCCTGCCTTAGGGCATACAAAACAGTCTCCATGGGTAATTATCAACATTTTCCCCTCTTCATTTTGCAGTTCCTACGTGCATGCGTGCGTGCGTGCGCGTGTGTGAGTTGCTCACTCGGCCAGGTGTCTGCGGGTGCGGGACTGCTCCGCCCGGTAGGACTGGGAGATGGAGAAGGTGTCCCCCAGGGCGGGGATGCAGGTCTCCAGGTAGAGCTGAGAGGACTGCGTCAGGTACGCCTGCTCGCCAAAGTAGTTCAGGTTAAAGAGCGTGGAGCCGCCCTCCACCTGCGTCTGCACCAGGGTCGGAGGAGTGATCTACACACAGGACAACAACAACAAAGGATTACATAAACAGAGCGGGTGCGTAGGGCAGAGGTGGAAGGAGTATTCAGATCTGAAGTACCAGAGTGTAGGAATACTTTGTTCCAGTAAAAGTCCTGCATTCAAAATGTTCCTCAAGTAAAAGTAGAAAAGTATTCTCATCAAAATATAGTGAAAGTAGCGACAGTAAAAGTAGTCATTGTGCAGATTGGTCCATTTCAGAATAATATATATGATATGTTTTATAATGATTGATCATGAAAGTGTTCTCAAAGCTGGTAAAGGTGCAGCTAGTTTGAAGGACTTTGTATACTGCAGGGTAGCTGGTGGATTTACTCCAGGTGGAACTAAAGTCTGATTTAACACTTGATTAGATTTCACATCATTTCAAGTAACTAAAGGTATTAAATACATGTAGTCAAATTACACCATTTACCTCTGAACTGTAGTGGGGTAGAAGTACTATGTATCAAACCTTGAACTACTCAAGGTAAAAAGGCGTGTGTTTTATATTATACATTCAAGGATTGACTAAAATCATAGTGTTAGGTTAGTGTTAGTAGTTTAAAATTGTTAAAATGCTAAGACGTGTTCTTGTTCTTCATTTATATTCAATAATCAATTTCTTGCACAATGAATGTATATACAATATCCTGCTACAGGACATTTGTATTTCCACATGTATATTTGTTACTTTTTAAAGCTATTTTATTTCTACTTCAGAAATATTTTTGGATTATTTATTTCTAGTGTCTTAAATTCTCTTATTAATTGCCTTGTTTTTTATGCTGCTGCAAAGCAAACATTTCCCAAATTAGGATCAATAAAGTACTGTCTGTCTGTCTCTCTGTCTGTCTGTCTGTCTGTCTGTCTGTCTGTGTGTCTGTGTGTCTGTGTGTCTGTCTGTCTGTCTGTCTGTCTGTCTGTCTGTCTGTCTGTCTGTCTGTCTGTCTGTCAGTAGAGTATTGAATCTACTGGATAGTCAATCTAAGATCCTGTTATCGATTGCTTTTGTCTCCACCCACATAGCCAGTGGTTTCTCTGTATTTGCTTCATTTAACTTAACGCTGACGAAACACCCCTTTCACTCTTTCTTTACTGATTCCTTCTCCCCTCTCATCGGGGGTGGGGGGTTAGAGGGGGCTCTTCACCTCGCAGTATCCTTTGCTGAAGAGGTGATCTCTGAAGCACTGCGTGACGGTGGAGCGCACTCGCAGCACCTTGGAGACGTTCTCTCCTCTGATCAGCATGTGTCGGTTGTTCAGCTGCACCTCCACGTCCGACTCCTCGTTCAGGAGGTTGTCGGCCCCGCCCGGCGGAGCTAAGCCAATCAGCTCCCAGAAGTCACAGTGCAGCTCGTGGCCCCCGGGCGCCTGGAAGAGGAAAACAAAAACTCACTGACGACCCTCCTCATTCATTTTCTTTTTTTAACAAAACAAACTTTAAAGTAGGGCTGCTCAATTAATCGTATTTTAAATCGCAACTACGATTAAGGCTTGCAACAATTACGAAAACAACGTAATTGAAATATAACGATTTTTTTTTTATTATTGGTTTTTCAGTTGAGTGATACTTAAAGTTCAGGGTAATCAACTGTTCAAACATTTTTTCTCCACTAAATTGATGTTTTCAAAGTAAATGGATAATCGTTTTTAATAATCGTGATATCAATTATTGACCCAAATAATCGAGATTAGGATTTTTGCCATAATCGAGCAGCCCTAGTTTCTAGCTAAACATCTTTAAGAGATGACATGAGCAGCCCTACCAGCATTTGCCATGGTGGCCAAAACATTTTGATTTGGGGCTAAAAACAGAGGGGATTATGGGTAATGCTGCAATGATCTGTTTGGTGTTTCAGCCAATCAGAGACATGTTCTGGATATATCTGAGACCTGTAATATATTGAAGGAAATCGGTAATAGGGGACCTTTAAGATCTTAGGAGAAGCACTTCTATCCCTTCAGTTGTAGTTTTGAATATCCATGAATCTGTTCTTTTTCTTTAAATTAAACAAGTAATTATGTGTCTATTCTCTCTGTTGGAGCTTGGATATATAAAGAGTTGATATTGACTTTGTGATACGAGACCAGATATCATCTTAGATGTTGGTTGTATGTTAATATACAGGGCTGCAGGATTCAGAAAATGTACGATTATATTGATTGCAAACTGTGATATGATTACCAATCTTGGAGGAACATAATTCTTATCATCATTATAAAATACATAAAAATGATTATGGAGTATTTATGTAGGATCTGTACCAAACAAATATGTTTTGTAAAGTCTGTAGAAAACTATTTGTAGTCCGGAATATCAGCAGCTTGACAATACAGTATGTGAAGCTTTCTACAATTCAAATATTGCATTTGACTGCATTGCAATTTGAATAGAATTGTTCAATTTAGTGTGCAGCCCTAGTTATAATTATTACCAGGTTAATATAGTTGATATAACATGTCTGACTTCCTGCATAACCTCATTCCCTATGCACCCTGTTTCCTTTTGTGCATAAACACGTACTGCAGGTTGTGTGTGTTGTGCAGCAGGGTGTGTGTCGTGCAGCAGGGTGTGTGTGTGTGTTTACCTGTTTCCCCTCGGGCACTGCAGTGACGGTGCCGTACAGACCGACGGTGCTCTCTGTGGACAACACCAGGCCGTTGAAGCACTGACACTGAGGACAGGGAGGTGGAAACAAGTCAGTGTGAGGTGGCCTCAGAGGGAGGAACACAGCATGTATTTATAGCATCATCACAAGCAATAAAACACGTATCTTCTATCGATCACTTGGGATTGAAGTGTTTACTCTGGTGACCAAAGTAAGCTCTCCAAAATACAATCTGTCTTTTTATCTGTTTATGTGAGCTTAAATTATTATATTACAACAAAAGGGAAAAGTACAGCAGTTTATGATTTAATATAAATTCTTAAAGTTGTTTATAAGAGTGTAAAAAGCAAAGTTATTAAGTTGTACCAGTTTATTAGAAAGGACACACTGGAGGAAACCAGTCCCGTCTCTCAGCACGATAAACATCAGGTTCTTTCCTGTAAGAGAACAAAAAACACAAAACAATCAAGTTCAAAACTAAGATATCCTTAATTCAAGTGTTGCCTTTTCAACTGGAAGGCAGAAACTAAAAAGAATATGCCAAAAAAACCTGGAGATGTTTCATTTTTTAGATGTTTTTATTAATGCTGTCAAAATTATCGCGTTAACGGCGGTAATTAATTTTTGCGTTAAAAATATTTAACGCATTTACCGCATGTGCAGAATGGCCCGCCCCATTCATCCCACCAGTGGCAGCGCTGGGGTATGGCTGGGGTAGGCTACAGCCATACCAAGAAATGGCTTAGCCCCACCATGAAAAATGATGTTAAAGGAAGCAAAATAAAGTCCGCCAACTCGAGTAAATTGCACAGACAGCCGTTAGTAAGATTGATTTCAGCCACTTGTCTGGAAATACAGAAGACTAGAAACGGTTTTGAAAACTTTTGTCACGTAGTGATCGTCTTCTCAATAGAACATCTTTGATAATGTCTTCTGGCCAATCAGAATCAAGATAACGGCGTGGTGTTGTTGCAGGAAGTCCTGACGTGGTAGTGCATCTCTATATAGGCCTACATCGAAATAAGACCCCACGGTTTGACGATTGATAGGTGTGTGGGCTGTCTTTCATTTTGACACGCAGAACAATGTTATAATAAACATACATACTGTATTTTAAATGAATATATCCGCCTTCTTTCATTTATCATTCCATTCCCACAACAATATACATAAAGAAATGGCATATTTTGGACATAGTTCGAATGGTGATTAATCATGATTAATTAATTTTTAAGCTGTGATTAATCTGATTAAAAATGTTAATCGTTTGACAGCCCTAGTTTTTATGAACAATGCAGAGCGATAGAATTATTAACAGAGCACTTATATACTAATAAAGGACTGGCTTATCTAAAGCCAGTTGAGTAGCACTTGAAATGTTTTGGCTCTATGAAACCTGATGTACTTATATGATTCTGTTTTCTTCAAGTTTGTATCTTGTTGGTCGAATGTACTTATTGTAAGTCGCTTTGGATAAAAGCGTCAGCTAAATGCAATGTAATGTAATAATGTAAATCTGTCATCTCCTCACCCTGTCTCCTGAGGCGATGCACCCATCCAAACACTTTGACCCTCTGACCTCTCTTGGCCTCTAGATGATGGATTTTAACCTGAAAAACACACTTAAGGTCATAAGCACACTAGGGCACAGCTGCATTTGGGGTAGGGTACTTCTTTGGTACAGACAAGAATACTGGTGTGGTAAAGGAGCCACGGTTAATTGTGTAGGGTTAATTGAGCAGTCTGTAAAGGATTTGGTATTCAAAACGATTGTTATTAGCTAGCTAGCTAACAATGGTGAGGACACAGCAGCCATGTGCGATTTGAGACACTACATCATGGGTGTCCAAACTACGGCCCGGGGGCCAAATGCGGCCTGCGAGCCATTTTGAAATCGGCCCTCAGCAAATTCAAAAGGTATAATAAAATATGGCCCATAAATTAAACTTGTGCTTGTCTTATATTGTACTTTTTAAATATTTACATACAAATATATCACACAGTATTCATGTGTTAGTTAGCACAGCTTTTAAAGTTGAAAACATTTTCTAACGTTGAAAAAAGCCCAATGACTTATCTACATAACCTTGAAATCTCCCCTTCATATATCCTCTTATTATAAGCAATCTGAAGCTTCTGTTTTAAGGAATGAGCTGCTAACAAAAGAAATGAAACCCTATGGAGAGCTGGGATGTAGGCAGTTTGTTTCTTAAAGCATTTTCAAGTATCAAGAATAATTTACCCACATTATATTGATTTTGCTAACTTAACTTATGAGGCAGTATACCTCTATTGAGCGGCCCAGCCCTCGGTGAAAAAAGTTTTGATACCCCTGCTCTACATGGTCAAAACTACCTTAGTGTTCAGAGAGCATGACAAAGCAGTGTACTAAGGGAAGTGTCCAGATTGAGACAGAGCATATATATTGCAGTAGAAAGAATATGGCGTACCGTTTCAGGCTCAGGCAGGCTGGGGTCCTTCTCAAAGGTGATCTTCTTGGCTTCGTCCAAGTTCTTCTCTCTCCTCTCAGTGTCCTCCGCCTGCAACAACAGACATGGAGACACACTTCTTCATCGTGTACAAGAATTACAGTTTAGGGCTGTTGTAGGAGCGGATATCAAGAGAACACACCTCCTTCTTTTCTTTGCCATCAGACTTGATCTGCTCGCGTTCAAAGGCCTTCTTGGCGTTCTTCATTTGCGTCTTAGAGATCACAGCCCAACGCTGAGGAAGAGGAAAAAGGAGAAATACAAAGGGGCTTGTAAATAAAAAAGAATAACCATAAGAAGTTAAAGGGGACCTATCATGCAAAATGCACTTTGTGATGTCTTTTATACATCAACATGTGTCCCCGGTGTGTCGGGGAACTCACGCAGCGTCAGGAAATAAAACCCTCTCTCTTTTCCTCCGTACCCAAATCTCTAAAAACGGGGAACAATGGAGCTGATCCAGATTTGCGTCCGATATGACGTAATATCTGAAATGTGGCCCAATCAGAAACGTTGCTATCAGAAACAATGCCCGACTGTTTTGGACGTAATATGGTCGGTGTTTACATTAGCATCGCTAACCCTCAGAGCTAACCTGTACTGGAGAGCATGTGTGTGAAGAAGCAGGAAGTAGAAAGGAACTCACCTTGTGGTATAACCGGCAAGAGAGAAAGCCTTTGAGCTCCAAACTGTTTCAGAGAGAATCCTTGATAATCCATGATATGGCGTTTCATCACGGCAGCATTTAGTTTAGACAGTAGCTGCCGGGTCCCGCATGAGCTCAGACCCCTCCTTTTTTATTTTGTAACCATTTTTTAAAGCTTTATCCCCAAATCAGCACTTTTGAAACAGGAAGTGAAATAGAGGATATGAGGCATGGCTAGAATGGGTGATCAGTTTGGTATTTTGAGCAAAACACTTCCTAGACATGTTTTTCATATATCTGAGACCTATGCTATTGCCTAAAGATAGCATGATAGGTGAAATTTAAAGTAAAAATGTGCACACTGTACCAAAATGTATACCATGTACAGTGGTGTATTAAAACACTGTAGTTGGCAAAACAGTGTAGGAAACTGTAGCAAACAGATTGTTTTTTTTAACAATCTCAAACCACACTGTAACATTTCTGTTGTACGTAGCTTTGATAAAGTATTTTTTCTCTTCAACAAACCTCTCCCTCCTTCTGTGATTCTACGTAGACGGTCGGGAACGGCACCTTCCCCGCGGACATCAGAGCCTGTGAGGATTTATCAATAAACACAATGAGATAATGAACCACTTGAGCAAATATCAATTAGTTATCTAATATATCAGAATCAGTTTTATTGCCACGTTGGTTTCACACATAAGGAATTTGATTTGGTGTATAATGTCCTAAACATATCAGGGAAAGTAAGTTTTAAAAAAGCAGCAATTATAGAACTTCTTTAACAATAAATGTTTTCAAGAAATACAAATTAAAAAAACTAAGTTAGGACAAAAATATGACAAATTACTACGAAAAATACATTCTGTGTATGTGTGTATGTGGTGGGCAGAAATGTGCAAAATACACAGCAGAAATTGCTTGGTTTACATTATTTGGCTACAACTAACAATACATCCTGTGACATGAAACATTTCCCTACAATTGTACAATATTATAAAACAATTAAATGACATAACAGATATCATTTTACCCCGAGAGGAGTTTTGAATGGTTTCGCCTCCGTGCCGTCCCCATCCTGGTCGCTGCCACATTTGTCCGACACATACAGCTCTCCTGTGAAGCAGAAAGAGAGTCAGTGCTTTGATCCCCACTCCTCCAAAGCAAAGAGGGTACAGATCTCATAACCAGTGGTGTAAAGTAACTAAGTACATTTACTCAAGTACTGTAACTTTTAAGGTACTTTACTTGAGTAATTCAATGTTGTGCTACTTTGTACTTCTACTCCACTACATGTATTTAACACCTTTAGTTACTTTACAGATCTGGGGGGGGGGGGGGGGGTGGCATGTGCACCAGTTATGTGCAGCCTTGATTATAAAACATATCATATATATTATTCTGGAGTACTCAAATAAAGTATAAGTATCTCACAATTGAACTTAGGTGCGGTACTTGAGTAAATGTACTTAGTTACTTTACACCACTCACCTTGCATATGGTGCTATACTAAAGACGAAACTGAAACCATTACTAACGAATAAAATATGATAGAATTAACGTAATATGTAGTGGAGAACAGGATCATGCTGACTTTCTACATGCCTGTTGACTAAAAGACACAACAAAGGAGGGAAAGGGACCCCAGGTAACGTTGAATGCCTGACGTAGCCTTTAGCTGCCCGGCAAACTGACAGCTGTCATGGCCATGGCTACCATTGAGGTCACCGAGGTCCGGACCTCGGTAATATTTTCCGAGCTGTGTATATAACAAAACTTGTGAAATAATTGCACTAAACGGGGTTCTTTGTAGTACTTCCATTTACTGACCATGGGGGCGCTGCATAACTACGTAGCCTCGATTAAAGAAAACAGAAGAAGACGACATGTATCAACAAACCTCCGCAGCCCTGTATCGGAGCAGCGGAGGAGTGATGAGGTATCTAGAGATCTGAGTCCAGCGGGCTACTTGTGTTTCTGTTCATGAGGACATCATATGAGCAGCAGATCCCGTGTGAACGCTCTACGTTAGTCAGTGGACGTCCGACAACATGCACACTAACTTATATTGCAGCTATAGGCTATACTTTGGTTTAAATTGCGTGAATAAACCAGCTAGAGAGCTACAGTTAATTACATTCATCCAATGTCAGAAGGATTAGCTTTTAACAAACGTTGTAATGCTTTTCTTTCATTTCAATTTGAGTAAAACATTGAAGATATAACATTGTATTGTTTTCTTGTTACACTGACTCAGATATAATGAAAAGACTACGTCAGTCGATGCTCAGCTTTGGTAAGAGAGAGACAGGACAGGCAGAGAGAAAGAGAGAGAGAGAGAAAGAGAAAGAGAGCGAGAGAGAGAGAGAGAGAGAGAGAGAGAGAGAGAGAGAGAGAGAGAGAGAGAGAGAGAGAGAGAGAGAGAAAGTGATGTAAGTCAGGGAGGAACTGGAGTCACACGAAATAATGTAGGCTTAATAAGCCCATCTATTTATCTATCTATGTATCTATAACAATAGTCTTCATTTACAATAGGCATAATTTTAACAACATACATCTATTGCAGTTATAATGTCATAATAACATACAATTGTATAAAACACAATTTGCTTACATCTTTGTTCTCTTTTGAGAATCAAACAAAACTGATTTAAATAAAAAAATAATGCAAACAAACAAGTGAAATGAACTAAACTGCTGAATTGCTTTTAATTCACTGGCAGGAGCGACAAGTGAGGAGGAGCAAAAAGTGAACAACGAGGGAGAGATTGAGAAAGAGTAGAGGACAGAGAGAGTAAAGAACAGGAAGAAGACAGAGACTAAAGAAGATGGAAGAGAGGGGGCAGGTTATGGAAAGGAGAGAGACATGGAAAATGAATGTTGACAATGTGTTGTGATCATTTTAGCCTCTTCTGCATGTCCAGATCATTAATAGTAACAATCAACTGATTCTAATGTATTACACTTTAAAAATAATTGATGCTGACATTGTCAGCCCACTGACATGGTTTGAAATCAATATATTATCCAATGTGTGACCCCCCCCCCCGGACTTAAAAAGCACCTAACTAGATCATGAAAATCCCAAAAATCTCGGGGGGTATCCCCTGAACCCCCCTAGCATGTTTGGACCTCGGTATTTAGGAAATCCTGGATACGGCCCTGGTCATGGCTAAATATTATCCCAAAGTAGCCTCTGTGTGGCTCAATTTTCACCTGCAAGTTAATATGAAACCCGCACATAAGCTCAATTACTGTGTAGTAATTACACCATATAAATGTATATTAAAACCAGAGACGTATGTTCAGGAATCAGCGTTAGCTTGAATGCTAACGGCTAGCATCACTGCAACTGATGCAATGAGCCAGGCCCTATTGCACTGTCTTTGGGAGCTAGCTATGTGACAAGCTATTTTTATTCTTACCCACTGAAACTTGTTCCACACCTTTCGTTATCTCCGTCGCCATGTCTGCCTTAGTCCAACGACAGATAAATAATTGTGTGTTCAAAAAATGGAAATGAGAGCACAGAAGCTATCGTGCGTCTGGTCTGCTCCTTTGCTGATGCAACTGTACATCCGCATTAGGGGTGGGCGGATCGATCCCAAAATGTCGATACTTCTGATATTACGTTACGTTTCAAAATATTGATACTAGAGCGAATAGGATCAATACTTTTATACTTTTTTTCGTCGGGTCTGCTCCTCTGCTGCTGAAATGCAACTTTACATCAGTACAGCCCATAGACTATATATAAAGGTACAGCCGCAGCTCGATGCAATCGGCAATCGACTGATCGACCTTCTTCTTCTTCCTCGGTTTCAACGGCGGACTACAAAACCAACGATGAAGAAGCATACTGCCACTTACTGTACTTACTGTGAAACATTATGACTTTAAGACAACTTCTCATAGGACCTATTAGTCAAAAATGTATTACCCTAAAACTCTTATGAAAGAGATGGTTACTGACTTAATCATGTATAATACAGTTTATGAAATAATATGAAGTAGTTTTGTGGTCAGTGAAGTTTTAAGGCATTTGGAAAAAAAGGATGTCCTTGTTAAAAAATACCCTTTATTTTAAATTGATTTACCGTGCCTCCTTCTTCGGTTTTAATGGCGGACAACAAACCAGCACTGACGCAGCACTTACTGTGTAACACCATGACTTTACGACAACTTGCCATATGACCTATACGGAAGAGGATTAGGGCCACATAAAACATTTTTTTGTGAGGATTTGAAAAAAATATTATTATTTTTTGTTCTGAGAAAAAAGTCAGAATTCTGACTTTAATCTCAGAATTCTGACTTTTTTCTCAGAAATACCGGTAACTGTAGAACCAGCTTCACTGCGATTTACACATTGCAGTAGGCAACAATGGAGGACGTGAGTGAATTTCTGCGCGCCAGAGGGGTCCAAGAGGAAACCATAATAAGTCATTTTACAACCATCTGCAATGTGTAAATCGCAGTGAAGCTGGTTCTACAGTTACCGGTATTTCTGACTTTTTTCTCCCAAATAAAATGTTTTTTTTTGTTCTGAGAAAAAAGTCAGAATTCTGAGATTAAAATCTGAATTCTGAGATTAAAGTCAGAATTCTGACTTTTTTCTCAGAACAAAAAAAAAAGTTTTTTTTTTCAAATCCTCACAAAAAAAAATTGTATGTGGCCCTAATCCTCTTCCGTAGACCTATAATTTATAAGTCAAACATTTATTAAAACTCTTATGAAAGAGATGGTTACTGGCCGAGGCTTCGGAGCGTGTGCATACTTGCCAACCCTCCCGATTTTCGCGGGAGAATCCCGATTTCATTGCCCTCTCCCGGTTTCCTACCGGAGTCATATTTCTCCCAATTTCTGGCGAAATCAGATTTACTCAGGACAGTTTCCACTCGGACTGTAATACAGCTACACCATTGTTTGGTTTCCATGGTAGCGCGTCTCTTTAGCAGCGCGCGCAACTCAAAGTCTGAGAGGGTGAGGAAGATTGTCACAGAAAACTGAACAAGAATCGACAACTCTACCCTCTGCTCACTCCTTTCCTGTAAAATACAGGTCCAGCCCACACATATGCTCCATCAAGGATGGTGCTACAGGCCGCAAGGCAGTGCACTTATAACTAGGCTACAATAATAAAAAATACAATATTTTCTTCTCTCTCCACTGCTGTCCTCCTCTCCTCGAGGCTCGCGTACGCGCTCCCTGCCTGAACGCCGATTATCAAGCTGACTGAATGCACTGAGGACAGGACTCCTAGAGACACGACGGGGGCGTTGGAGTCAGTGGCGGATTTAGGATTGTAGGAGATCCGGGGCTTAGCCCAGGAGTTGTTGGGGGTTAGGGGTGCTATTTTAGTGCTATTTTTTACAAGTGGGGGGTGGACCGAACATCCTTTAGGGGGGTCGTCGCCTCCCCTAGGGGGGTCCGGGGACATGGTCCCCCGGGAAGATTTTTTTTTAAATACTGAAGTTAAAAGCATCAATCTGGTGCACTTTGAGTGCAACATTAACCCTACCTTAATAATAAATAATACCTTAAAGTGGACAAAAGGCACTGGAGAACACTTATTCATTAACACCCTTTAATGAAGCAAACTAATGCCTTAACTCACTCAAATACAGTCGTTTCCTTATTTCGGTGAAACGAATGTGCGTAGAGTTTTAAAGGATGCGGATAGTCTCACCTTGATTCTGACGCTTTGCTTATCGTTTTATAGATCTATTCTCATCCACCATCTTTGTTTGTGATGTAAAGAGTGTAAGAGTCACGTTTCTGAATCGGACACTGAGTGGATGCAGTCACAGCCAATCGGATTCAGAGGGTTGCCTGTCAGTTCCGTTGCTATGGTTCCGTTGTTATGTGTACTGAAACGAGAGGCGGTATAATTCCACGCGCGAAAACAAAATAAAAATTTGAATACTTTATTTTAGTGTCTTAAAAGTAGACTGAGGTATGAAGGGTTAACGTTACATCTTAGGATAATTTTTAGTCATGTTCTGTATACATACTAACATATAAGGGTATACTTAGTGTGGTTACTCAATGTTTACTAGCTATAACATTAACGTTACATCACTCTTTTTTACTTCTTACTCAGTCAGCCAGAGCGCAGATATCACCATTAGATTCACAAACCTGAAACATCATCAATTTCTTCACTGCTGGTGATGACATTGTTGTCAGCTGCTGATACTGCTGCTGCTGCAGCTTGTGGCGCCTGCTTAGATGAAAATAACTTCCTAATATCCATAACTTTATAGGATATTAGCGTAAAACTCGTCAGGCACTAGGAAGGATCACTTCTTCTTCAGGGCAGGGAAGGCTACGCAGTACGCAGGCTACTGTCCCGCAGCGGCTGCCTCTCTGGTGGACTCCGGTACTGCACTTTTTAAAAAAAAATTAAGTGAAACATCCGGGGCTTTTCAGAAAACATCCGGGGCTTGAGCCCAAGTATCCACCCCCTAGCACCGCCACTGGTTGGAGTTAATCATGTATAATACAGTTTATGAAATAATATGAAGTAGTTTTGTGGTCAGTGAAGTTTTAAGGTAAAAAAAAGGATGTCATTGTTAAAAAAATATCCCAAATGTAAATTGATTTCCTCTTTCAGTTTTAATGGCGGACCACAAACCAACACTGGAGCAGCACTTACTGTGTAACCTCATGACTTTAAGACAACTTCTCATATGACTTTTTAAGCAGGAATTATTTTAAAAAACATTCACAGAAGAGGTGATCCTGGTTAAACATGTATTCATTCAATCAGAGCCGGCCCGACACACTAGCGGGTACTTTTTCCCTCTTTTTCCGGCCCCATAAAATCGTGGTTCTATCAGGCCAGGGTTGCGTTCCGATAATCCAAATATCAGCTCCTAAATTCTAACCCTATCTCCTATTCCTTGACCTCTGAGTGAAACGTCACGGGGTTAAGGGATAGTGGATAGGAGAATTCAAAAGGATTTAGGAGAAGAGACCGCGGTACTTTAGAGAATCCGAATGGACTTTCACTATCCGACGTGTTTATGATGCGCCAGCGGACGTCATGAATGTGCGTCTGCTGCTGTGGGGAAACTATGGAAACTACAGTTTTCTATACAGCGGACTCCAACATGGATGTTCAATAAGAACGAGGGACTCCTGTAAACTCATCTAGAGACTCTGTGCTCTGATGCTGTTGCTTTATGCTTTATGAACGTGGACAACAGAGAAACATATTCTTCATGACCAAAGTTGGAATTGAAATAAAAAAGGAAAGTGAAACTTCTGCTCGTCACCCTCTCCCTCCGGTCCACATTAATACAAATGATCCCAATACGTATGATTGTATGAAAATATCTTAAAATCAATACAAATGTATTTATTATAAACGTTAGTCCTTAACATCTATCACTGTGTGTATCACCATTCAAACATCTTTTAAAAGTTGAACAAACCCCACACAGCTCAGTAAAGACTGTGAGATGTTGAATTTATTTGATAATTTCAGTAAAAACTAACGTTCATATTTCTCTTTTTGATTATAATACTGATGAACGTTCAGAAAAAAGTACTTTGGCAACTTACCACATACGTTTTAAAATGCTTAATAAGCACCGTAACTTTCATGATATCATTTCTCGGTCATAATCGGTTGTTTCCGTGAACGGCCGACTGTTGTGATGGCAAATGCTGCGGCTGCAATGCATTGTGGGGCAGCATTTTCTCCTCTCCTTTCGGTTAGGGAGGTCCAGTGGTTCCTAAGCTAAAGGAGGTTATAACGGAAGTTTGAAACCTCCTTTCCTTTCATTTGGAGAATTGGAACGGCACTTATCATGGCTGCCAGTGACGTACTTCCGGGTCATTTCACTCCGTCAGGAAGGTTCCTAAGCTAAATGGACTGGAATGCAACCCAGGGCGAGGGCTGAACTAGTGACGTCAACACTCTCGACTGCTGATTGGTCAGAGAGAATCGTCACAAGATTGCGCGCGAGATCATCCCTAGCGTCGCATATATATCTAGAAGCAAGCTTGCAGCATTTTTATACTCAGCATTTTTTGACGTTCCTACATCTCATTGGGGATGATAAAATCCAGCGGGAGCTCAACGGAACAACTCGAAATGTGAAAGTGTTCCAGGATGTCTTTGCACAGATGCCCCGCCTACACTGCGTTGCTACCCCAGGTCCTAAACTGTAATGGAAATGCGCCACGGCCTCGGACGGCCAGCGAGGCAGCCCGAGGCCTGAGCGAGGACGCTTAGGGACGCTTAAACGGGGCTACCCCGCTGCAGTGGAAATGTGCCATAAGCGACATAAGCGGCCGCCTAGGGCCCCGCAGCCACTAAGGGCCCCCTCGCAAAAAATGCAATTTTTAAAAATATTTTTCTCAGTACACCGTCGCCGTGATAAGTATGTTTAATTAATTTTGTTAATATGCCTAGATTGCCTACTCTCAAAGTCATGTATTAAATTATTGACTCAATAATATTGAGTCAATCATATAATACATTAACCGTGCTTTAACTGGCTGAACCTTATCATGAGAGGACGGCAGGATTGTAATTTCCCGTGTTCAGTGAATGCAACAGAGGCAAGATACATCTGTCTTATTCGCTGACAGGTACCTATCATGTGAGCTGTGACAATGTTTAAAATGAACTATCAGTCGAACTCAGAGTTTTTGAAGATGGACATAAGAAAAAAATTCTTAAAAAAGACGACAATTCTCAAGTGGTGGCTCACAAAACAACCCCAGAGCCACCACTTGAGCCAGGCAAACAAGTTATGTCAATGTCAGTAAACTAAAAGTTATGCGAACATGTAAGCAAAGCATAAATTACAGCTAATTTGACATTACTTTGAATCGCGGGGGTAAGCTAAACCGTTAGCAAGTAGCTATAGATAGCCAGATATATTAAATAAACACTTTGTCATCTAAATGTTATGTTTTTTAGCGTTACCTGGTGATTTCAAAGAAAGCTCTCTAGCTAGAAGCTACCTTACAGTACACAGTTGATCCTGAGTCCTGTCAGTTAAAGTGTTTCATAGTTAGCTTAGCTAAGCATCAACCTAGCACTGAAATATATGGATGTTATGTGACAGTATTTCTGAGAAAAAGTCAGCTGAAATGGTGGCATAGTTGCCACTGCTTTACGTGTCTATAGCATGTTTGAACGTATTTGCAGCAGTAAATAAATGTGGCTGTTTGGCCACTGACGTTGCCATAACAACACCTGAATTTAAATGTGCAATCTCTTTTTGTGACAGATTTTTGCATGAAATTATAATTCTTCTGAATGATATTCCTATTGACAGATAGTTTCTATGTGAACATAATGAGATGGACAGCCAGAGAGAATAAAAGGGGAGTGATTTGTAAAATATCCATAAAGAAAAATCTGCTTACAGTTCTGTTTCATATGGGTGTTGAGAGATGTATCCATAGATCTCTTAATTTTGCTCTCAAAGTGCACCAGATTGATGCTTTTAACTCTTCAGACTTCAACAATCTTCATGCAACTTCAACTGCTAACTGCTAATCTGATTCTTACTTTTAGAGATATTGTTCAGACCTTGGCAAAGAGGCCTTCTTCAGATTTTAGAGTGTGTGATACATCCCTGAGACATAATTTTTCATGACAAACGTAGGAAAACATATCGAAGCTTGAAAGATAAAAGAAAATTAAGCAAAATAATTAAACAAAATGCCTCTTGAGGGCAGTGGCGGTTCTAGACCAATTTAACTGGAGGGGCCACTGGGGGGCCAGTTATTTTCTGAGGGGGGCACAATAAATGCAGGACGAAAAAGAGAACTAGACAGTATGAAGTAATTGCGCATAAGAAAACAATGCAATACAGTTATTGGTATTTGTTTCAGTACACTTATTTATTTCAGATAGATCTTATAGTTATTACTGTTAGCTTCAGCTGAAGTTATAGTGCAATGTTTGCACTAACACCATATTTATATAAAAATAAAGGCAATGAACAGTTACATCTCTACTTTACATAAGGGTGTCTGCACAATCTCACATTACAGCAACAAAATCCTGCGGTTTTTTGCAAACCGAGTACCAGAAAATATACATTAAAATGTATGTTGTTAAGGGGGCCACAGGGGGTCAGAGGTCAGTGTTAGGGGCACTGGCCCCCCCTAGAACTGCCCCTGCTTGAGGGCATGAAGTGACAACAACGTTCAACATGTCTCCATTAAATCCCATTGTATGTTCAGCCTCACCTTTCCCCACCACAGCAGCCGCACCCCTTTAGTTAATCTGCCAAAAAGGCCACATTATTAACCCGAAAGTACACAAAAAGTACACTTCAGATGCTCAAGTTCCTTGACATGCTTCACGCTTTGAAATTTCACCGATATCTGTTACGGTTCTTCAACAAAACGTTCACATGTAACAGTTTTATCGCTCATTCAGAACAATGAAAATGCTCTCCTCTCACTGATCACCATGGAAACCTTTGATCTCTGGACACGTCGTTAGCTCAAATATAAACACCTGTGTCATGGAACACGATGATGTCATAACTCCAATTGACATAATTAGAGCAGCAGACTAATGACGTGGTCAATGGACGTGGTTTAACAGACTGTCTCTATGCTTTCCCGTCTGATGGAGACTTCATACTGACTTCAACATGTTCCACATATTTTAGACATTATTGGTGACGTATGCTTTTAGTTCTAAAGTTTTCAGTTCAAATATTCTGCTGCTTTTTCATGCATTTAGACTTTTATTTTCTTGTTCTTATTTCACATTCAAGTCCCCTCTATTCATGAACCCTTTAAAGTACTCAGCCACACCACTTATATACCACGTGCAACTGTTGCTATGTGAGTTAATCTTTCAAATACAAGGTTGCTTGGTTGATTCAAGCTCTTGTAGTCAATATGTCAAGGTATTTATCCCTAACATTTTATCAGCTAACTAATGACACACACTCAGAGGATCTTTATAAACGTTTTAAGTATTGCACATATTTAAACATGACTATTATAAATCACTTTTAAAACCAGCGATGCACTACAGTGTCAGCTTTTCTAAAATAGAAACTTCAATGTTCACATCTTTCGAAATGATTCTACTTTTCAATGACCTACAAATAATCCTAATAATAATCCCATTTTCAATCTTCCAACTCTTCATATTTTTTGGTCAAATAACAAACCTGTTACAAATGTGTTGTTCAACAAATTTGAGCCTTTGCCACATTTATTTGATCACCATGGAAACCTTTGATCTCTGGACACCTCGTTAGCTCAAATATAAACACCTGTGTCATGGAACACGATGATGTCATAACTCCAACTGACATGCTCAGAGCAGCAGACTTCAGATAGTGGTTAATGGTCCTGCCCTCAACAGCTCTACTTCAATTATGGGGTGTCATCATATGCCGTTTCCATGGAAACGCATCCCTCGCCATAAAACACAATGTCGCTGTAACTCCAATGGACACGGTCCGATCGTCCCCCAAACTTCGCTTGTATATCACCGGTCCATGCCTCAACAGCTTTACGCCAAATCTGAGATCTCACCATAGGCTGTTGCCATGGAAACGCATCCCTCGCCATAAAACACGATGTTGCTGTAGCTCCAATGGACACGGTCCCGGTCGTCCCACAATCTTCACCTGTATATCACCTCTCTCCATGCCTCAACAGCTCTACGTCAAATCTGACATCTCACCATATGTCTAACAGTCCAGCCGTGAAGACATCTACGGGACCGTTTTGAGATTTCTTCAAATGTCGTTGCCATGGTAACACAATGCTCGCCATGAAACATGGTTTTCTCATAACTTCAGTGAAAATGCTCCAAACAGCCCAAAACTTCACAGGTTTGGTAACGATGCAGCCATCAACGCATCTAAGCGTAGTATGGGATGTAATCAAATGCCGTTGGCATGGCGACAGATCATTCACCATCAAATTAGTTCAAAAGTTTGCAGCTCAAATATTCTGCTGCTTTTCCAAGCCTTTTTACTTTCTTTTCTTCTCACATCACACATTCAAGCCCCCTGTGTTCATGTATCATTTCAATCTAAATTCTTCACTTTCTTCTTACACATTACATTTCAGCATAGCAGTTTAGCGTCAGCTTTTCAGCATAAAGCATTCCCACTAGCAATTTCTTCAGGAATTGCATTCTCTAGTTTTCAGTCTGTTGTGAAGGAGACAGTGTTTATGTTCTTCATAATGACAATCCAAACACATCTGTTCCACTCACTCCTTTACTATCAACTGTGAACAATGTAGAACATATACTGCCTGTGCTGTTAGTTTGAAATGTTTATAATCCTCCAGAAACTATTATTCTTACGTGTGTTAATCAGCAATTCTAACTCAATACGCCATTTGTCAAATTTAGCGAATATCTTCTCATGGCCCACCTTTTTTTCTGTATTTTCAGAAGTACCTAAGTGGCAGCCATGATAAGAGCTGTTTGAATCCTCTAGTTGATAGGATATGAGGTTCAGTTTCCCTTTATAATCTCCTTTAGTTTATAGGAAACACTGGATCATCCTTTACGAAAGAAAAGGAGATAATGCTGTGCCACAATGCTTGTTCACAGAAACAACCGATCATGACGGACAAACAAAGTATATATTGGGGTTTTGTATGCAGTTTACAACTTATTCCGGTGTATACAGTAATATGAACGAAGTGCTGTAAAATGATCAAATCAAATCACCATTTCAAAGTGTTAACTGAGTTGTGTGGGGTTTCTTAAACTTGTTGTGTACATGTTTTAATGTTGATATGCACAGTGGTAGATGTGAAGGCCTATCTGTTATGCATATCAATCTATTAGGAAACTGGATTTATTCAGATCAGTTATTTATTACCAAAGATATCCCACAGTGCTGATCTTCTATTCACATATCAGGTCTCACACCACCTCTGACAACAACAGTTATTTACAGACAATAACAAAACACTTTCATAATAACATTTTAGTACATGAAGAACAAGAAATATCCCAAATCATATGTTTTCATCATCCCTCGCCAAACTATCAGGGTTATTATTTGGTCTTTCAGACATTTATTTACTCTTTAAAATATGTTTTCATAATATTTTCAATATTTATTTTTTTGCAATTGTTTGGTTAGTAATCTAACATTTGACCTTAGAGAATAATAAAATGAATATAGCAGCCACTGGGGTTCTGCTGCTGCATCCTTCCCTTCATCTTTTCTGGTGTTTTCCAGCTTTCATCAAACTAAAGACCCAGAATATAAATCTGAGAAAATGGAAAGTTGTGTTTCCACGTTCTATGGGTTTGAGTCTTCTGTGTTTAAATCTTTACAGATTTTAACAGAGGCTCCATTAGTATGCAGACCAAACCCAGGACAGAGCGGCTCAGTGAATGTGGTGTGGACTCTGTGGAGGAGAGTCATGGTTCCAGAGACGCTGTAGAAGGAGAGAACGCCTGCACTGTGATCCAGGTACACTCCTATTCTGGAGGGCTTAGGACCTGAGAGTGATGTTCTGATTGTGTTATGTCTGAATTCATAACCGTCATTGGAACACTCCAAAGCCCAAGACTTTTCATTGTCTCCAAAAAAACTTTCATCTCCTTTTCTGCTAATACTCTTGTATGCAACAGCAACCAAAACACTCACTTTTACCTCCACCTCCCAGTAACAACATCCAGTCAGACTCTCTCTACACAAAACCTGAGCCCAGTCAGTGAAACTGTCTGGGTGACCACACCATTCATCGGTATTCAAGCTGAATCCTGCAATGTAAGACTGAGAGCTGATATGTTTGTTCCTTGTGTTCTGATCCAGTCTGATATCACACGCATTTTTGAGGAATTCAGTCCTGTTCTTGGGCTCTGTCTGTGGAGTCTCTGTTATTGACATCGTGGCCCGTTCCTCACTAACAATATCCTGTAGTTTATCTCTGACCTCTGACACAGCTGCAGTCACGTCCTCAGTGTACTTCAGGGAACGAGCCGTGATGCTGGAGGAGTCTGTAGCTTCACTCAGACGTGATAACCTGCTGTAACTCTGTAGAAACTGGGTGTGGTCCTCTGTGTGTGAAAGTCGGTCCAGCTCGGTGTCCTTCCTGCTGAGCTCAGCGATCTCCTCCTGCAGCTTCTCCTGAAGATTGTTGATCAGCAGAGATTGATGGCCTCCACCTCCTTCTGAAGCAGCTTCACATTCACCCAGTAGTTTTTAATACAGCTCAAACAGTAGCTGTGTCCACAGGGAATAGTCACCGGATCCTTGCGACAGATGGAACAGCAGAGTTTTCCCTGGTGCGGTTGAATTAGTTTCTGCGCTATTCTCCCTCTCAGAGACACGGCACTCAGAGGACTGACCTTGTTTGATAGCAGGAAGAAGAAGGAGGGGCTGGTAATGTTTGATTCGCTCCAGGAAGAGGCGGGATTTCAAGGTGTGTTCAGGCTCTGTTTCTAAATGCATTGAATAATGTGAAACAAACAAGGTCGTGTTGTCAGCCCAGTCAGAAATGTAGTTTTCAGTCTGTTGTGAAGGAGACAGTGTTTATGTTCTTCATAATGACAATCCAAACACATCTGTTCCACTCACTCCTTTACTATCAACTGTGAACAATGTAGAACATATACTGCCTGTGCTGTTAGTTTGAAATGTTTATAATCCTCCAGGAACAATTATTCTTAAGTGTGTTACTCAGCAATTCTAACCAAATACGCGGTTTGTCAAATTCAGAAAATCTTCTCATGGCCCACCTTTTTTCTGTATTTTCAGAAGTACCCAAGAGTCAGCCATGATAAGAGCTGTTTAAGTCTAGTTGATAGGAAATGAGGTTCAGCTTCCCTTTATAATCTCCTTTAGTTTATAGGAAACACTGGATCATCCTTTCAATATATTGAAATTTATTTTATTTGCCGATGACACTAATATTTTTTGTTCCGGTGACATTTGAAAGAGCTAATGGAAGTGATAACAGCAGAAATGATTAAAGTAAAACATTGGTTTGACACAAACAAATTATCATTAAAGGTGGGGAAGGTAAGTTTCAGAAACCGGCTCGAGATACACTTTGTGTTATATTCCATAGAATGCTCTTAACATCCCGATAGCAATGTATAGCTTAAGTGCTTTGACAAAAAATCGATACAAAAATATAATCTGTGGAAGCCGTAGCGCTTTAAAAAGTACAACCAATAGGCTTGTTTGAGACAAGCAAGACCTGCGCAGACCTGCGCAGTTGCGATCAACGTCTTGCTAGTGCGTTGCATGATGGTTAGTCATTTTGTCCGACTTGCTCTGGAGGCCCGCCCACATGAGACTTTGAAATTTCGCGGGACAAAGACGCCCGCAGCCTGAGAGCGAGGCGCGGCGAGTTGGCGCAGTTGCTCTCCACGGGCTGCGGAAGCGAAATGCTTGATGGGAAACGGCTCGCTGGTATCTCGAGCTGAGCGCTCATTGGTGGTTTTTACCACGTGCTGGTGATGAAACTCTCCAATCGGCTGGCAAAATGTTGTTGTTGTTTTGTGTCAGTTTTACGTCACCACATCCATTCCCATTTTTCATCATTGTTCCACAATATTTATCATCATGAAATGAATATCTATATATTTTATACTATACTTGTACTGCTTACCGTTTTCATACTTTATATATCTTAGCATATTCATACACACTGTTCATACTGCTCTCAGGCTGCTGTGTATATCTAGTGTATTCATAGCCCTCACTGTTTATTCATCATTCAATTCATTCTATATTTTATTCTGTAGATTGTGTACATTACTTTTCACTTTACTGCTTGTTGCACCTGGTTAGAAGCTAAACTGCATTTCGTTGTCTCAGTACCTGTAATATGTGCAATAACAATAAGTTGAATCTAATCTGGAGCAGGAACAAATGTATTTACTTAGTACATATCTGACATTAACGATTTAAACACATGTGTGCATTCTTTATAAATGCAAACCGAGTCAAGCCGACTCCGGAGGTGGCTGTATGCACCTTAAAGTTGTTTGCAATCCGCCAAAAAACCGAGAGAAGAAGAAGAAGACGAAGCCGACTCCGAGCATGGACTCCGAGCTGTCCGACTTCAGGCGAGCTTTTTGAGACCTCCCCCGGCTGCGATCGGCTATTCTCGTCTACTTTCGAGGCGAGCCGCAACGCGTCTCAAACAAGCCTAATCCGTTTAGCCGGCACCGCCCTGTCTGTCAGCCTTCCATCTCGTGCACGCACAAATGTATCTCGTGCCCTCATTGGGCGTGCCGTCATTGGGCGTGCATTGCAGCAGTACTTCAATGACTCTCCAGCAACAGGCGGCCACTTTCACCAGTCTGCTGACGTCATGTGCGCGTTCATGTGTGTTGGAGGAGGTGCTCTAAGGAAGTCTGAAGGAAGGGGCGGATTCTTTTCGGCTGTTTACTTTCAAATTTTAGTGCACTCGAGCCAGTTTCTGAAACTTACCTACCCCACCTTTAAATATAAGCAAAACAAAGATTATGTTATTTGGAAAACATAAAACAAATCCACAGATACAATTAATACTAGATAACATACACATAGAAAGAGTATATGAAATGAAGTTCCTTGGTGTGGTTTTAGAGCACAGAATCAGCTGGAAACCTCATATCACTCATGTAAAAGCAAAACTGGCTAAAACTATCGAATATTGGGAAAAGCCAGATACATTCTGGACTACAACTCATTGTATACTCTATATAACACACTAATATAGCCATATCTGATTTACCGTGTGGAGATTTGGGGAAACACGTACAAACCAACCTACAGCCGTTATGCACATTACAAAAAAGGGCTATAAGAGTTATCAATAATGTTGGATATCTTGAACACACTAATGTATTATTTTTGAAGTCACACATATTGAAGTTCATTGATCTGGTTAAATTTAAAACGGCACAAATCATGTACAGAGCCAGACATAATCTACTTCCTAGGAAATTAAAAACATTGTTCATAGACAGAGAGGGTGGGTATCATTTGAGAGGAAATCTACATTTGAAACAACTCAAGGTCAGAACAACTCTGAGAAGTATGAGTTTAACAATCTGTGGGGTGATTTTATGGAATGGTTTGGAGCAGGAGTTAAAACAAAGCACAAGCATAATTCAGTTTAAAAGGATGTACAGAAACACTTTTTTGGAAAAATATGAGAATGAAGAAAGGTGATTGAAGTGAGAAATTATTGTATATGTATAAAAGTAAATCTAAGTAGGAATAACTTGCATAATGATTTAAAGGACAATCATTGATCAAGTAAGGGGTGGGGATTAATAAGCATTTGCTTCCTCCTGCTCACTTTCGGACACACATGATTTATTATTAATATGAAGACTTTTTTTTTTGTTTTTTTTGTTGAATATACAAATATTACCATGAATGTGGATAAATACTGTATTATAACAATACGGTATTCTGTTTATCACATTTGTTATTTTTTAATCTGTTCGAAATAAAGACTGAAAGAAAGAAAGAAAGAAAGAAAGGAGATAATGCTGTGCCACAATGCTTGTTCACAGAAACAACCGATAATGACTGACAAAGATCACATGGTGTTTTTTATGCAGTTTACAACTTATGCCGGTGTATACAGGGTGTAATATGAACTAAGTGCTGTAAAATGATCAAATAAAATCACCATTTCAAAGTGTTAACTGAGTTGTGTGAGGTTTATTAAACTTTTGTTTTACATGTTTTAATGTTGAGTTCATTTTAAGATTTGTTTGTTTTTAAATCACTCAATGGGCGGGCCCCTCTGTACATCTCCGACCTCCTACATGGGCTTTGAGGTCGGCTGATCAGCTGCTGCTAGTAGTCCCTAAAACAAAGAAAAGACCAGTGGAGACCGAGCCTTCTCAGCGGTAGCCCCCAGGCTCTGCAACGACCTGCCCCCCATGTCAAATTGTCGCCCATCCTTCAAGCTTTTAAGTCCCGTCTGAAGACCCACCTCTTTTCCCTCGCTTTCGAGTCAGTTTGAGTTATATTGAGCTTTATCGATTTTTGTGCTTTTATAGTCCATAGCCTTTATGTGCCTTTTATGTATTCTTGTAATATTATATTTTATTATAATGTTATGTTTGCTGTGAAGCACTTCGGTAAACCCTCTGTTTTTAATATGTGCTATATAAATGAAATGGATTGGATTGGATTTATGTAGAGAGTAACGAAGTAAAGTAATATATTACTTTCTTTGAGTAACGACCCCATCACTGGTGGTAAAGTATAAATAAGCCTTCTTACTCAACAGGTCATACATTTTGGAGATTCATCTCAAGTCGATCCTAAATCTTCAATCTGGGTTTTCTCTGCCTGGAGAAAAATGTCAATTTGATTGAAAATGGTGTAAAAGCTGTGAAAAAGGAACAGGACAGCATGAGTCAGATGTAGGACTGCCCCTTCAGGAGACACTCTGTCACCCAGCTCTGAGATCAGTCTTCTGCAGCACACACTGAAGTCTACTCCCCCCGCCCGCTCTCTGCATCGCCACAGCGCTGCACTGGTGAGTTCACTCTTTTATATATAAGATATATATATATAAATATAAGAGCAATACATATATTACAGTGACACCCACAGTCCGTTGTTGTTTGCTTGATTTTTGAATTTCTTATGCTATGAAATGTATGAATGCTTATTTATTTTTGGTTGATTCTGGTTTGAAACTGGCATAATGATGGTATTTACATGATACATATATCAAATGCATGGTGAGAAGAAAATTCATAATATAATCAATAATAGTTATAGTTTTTAAACACAGTTGAGTTAAAAGGACAACATCAGGACAATCATTAACTCAATACACTCGATAGATACTGGGAAAACACATAATCTCTTCATTTTAACAAGTCAAATATATATTGAATTGCTTACAACGAGAAAACCTGATGAGTATTTATTCATTGATAAACCATCAACATTAATAACAGCAATATTGCTAAAAACTATTTGATCCATCCAATGAAAAGCACTGAAGAGGATGTAACCAGTCATCAGTCAGGAAATGAGCTGCTCCTAGATACACTGCAGAATCGATGCATTTGTTTAAAAAAAAACATGTGCAAAGTAAGTTACTGTGAAGCCAACCAGACATCCACTTAGACATTTACACAGTAGCAGTAAAAGCAAGCCACTGGCTCACTTATAGCAACAGAAACAAACATGGTCATCATCTGTCAACATCAATTATCCTTGTGATAAATATTATAAATTGATCAAATGTCAAACATTTGTACAGGACATTTAAAAAAGAGCTTTCTGAGTACTACACCACATAAAGAAGATCTTAACATCAGCTCCAAATTGCAGAACTGCAGAGAGGAGAGTGAAAGCCCGGCCGTTTCCTGAATGTGTCCTGTGGCTCTCTGTTTGATTCTGTTTCTAACTCTGCTACTGTGAACACCACAGTCTGTGACTCTGAAACATGTGGAAAACCCTTTCAGTTTTTCTCCTTTTACTATTGAAGCCGTTCATGAAGCCTTAACCAAGTTAGATCCTAAGAAACCGGCTGGTCCGGACAACGTACAACCTTTCTTTTTAAAGATAGCTGCAGATTTGATTGCACCACCTCTTACTTCTCTTTTTAACCTCTCCCTCAGCACAAACACAATTCCAAAAATATGGAAGTCAGCTTATGTCCTTCCTCTACTAAAAGGTGGGGAGGCTACTTTATTAAATAAGTAAAGGCCCATCTCTAAATGATCAGTTCTGGCCAAGGTTCTTGAACGCCTAGTGAGTGAGCAGGTAAAGGTGTTCTTATGTAAAAATGACATCCTGTCTAAACATCAGTCAGGATTCAGAAAACAACACAGCACCATCACTGCGACAATGAAAGTGGTGAATGATATTGCTAATATCTTAGATAATAAGCAGAGTTGTGCAGCTCTATTTATTGACCTGTCCAAAGCGTTTGATACCGTCGATCATCATATCTTAAAGCAGAGGCTAGCCAGTATAGGCATGTCCAGCCATACAGTGGGTTGGTTTGTGAACTACCTCTCTGAAAGGTCCCAATGTGTTCACTTTGATGGGCTGTCTTCTGAGTGGTTAAACATTACTAATGGTGTTCCTCAAGGTTCTGTTTTAGGTCCACTTTTATTCTCCATCTATATCAAAAGCTTAGGTCAAAATGTGGATGAAGCAACTTTACATTTTTATGCGGATGATACCGTGATGTATTGTGCAGGTCCCTCCATTAAAGAGGCTGTTGTTAAATTACAGGCTGTTTTTAATATTATTCAGATTCAGCTCGCTGAAATAAAGCTTCTTTTAAATGTTGATAAAACCAAGGTAATGTTATTTTCAGAAGCTAAAAAGACACCGGAGACAACTTTGGATATTGTTACTATGCACGGAAAAGTACTTGAAGTGCTTGCCTGTTATAAATACCTTGGTATCTGGCTTGATGATTGCCTCTCTTTTAAACTTCAGGTCAACAATCTGCTTAGAAAGCTGAGGGTTAGACTAGGTTTCTTTTTCAGAAACAAGTCCTGTTTCTCGCTTGAGGCCAGGAAAAGTCTCTGTGACCTTTTTACCTGTGCTGACTATGGTGATTTGATCTATATGAATGCACCTACCCATTACCTGATCAAGTTAGATGCCGCCTATCACAGTGCGCTGACATTTGTTACTAACTGTAAAGTACTCATCACTGTACCCTGTATGCCAGGGCAGGTTTGCCTTCACTGTATGGAGGCTCTGTCATTGGTACATGTTTATCTACAAAGCCATGTTGGATAAACTACCAACTTACATCTGCTCACTGATATCACAGAGAGTCGCAAGTAGCTATTGCCTGAGATCCCAGGATGTGTTTTTATTACATGTGCCAAGTGCTAGGACTGTTTTAGGCACTAAAGCTTTTATTCGTGCTGCTCCTCTATTGGAACACTATGCAAAACAAATTGAAACTGAGCATTTTGGTTCCCTTGCATCATTTTAAAGCTCGGATAGATGAAATGTTATTAGATACCTGTCATTGTGAATAGGTTGCTAATTTATACCCCTGTAATTATGTTGTATGGTGTCCTTTTTGTTTTCTGTTGTTTTTATGTGTAACCAATAATAATAATAATAATAATAGCTTCGATTTCTATAGCGCCTTTCAGGGGACCCAAGGTCGCTTCACAAGTAATAGTGCAAAGACAAACATAACAAAACAAAAGACAGACAAACAGAACAACAGATCGATTTAGGGGCCGAAAGCCTTGGCAAACAGATGGGACTTGAGGGCCCTTTTGAAGGCTTCAAGTGTGGGGATGTTGCTGCAGGTCTCCCTTGAAAAAGAGATTGTTGATCTCAATGGGATTTTCACCTGGTTAAATAAAGGCTACAAACAAACAAAATCGTATTAGATATAGATCTTAAATTCGGTTTGGTAACATCTTGCGTCAAGACCCTTAAATACACCCTCTCAACTTAGTTCACTGCTTCATCTGGCTTTGTGAAATACAACAGTGGAGTTCTACGTTTAAAAATAAATTATGTAATAGAGGTCGAATGAAGTGAACAAGCTGCAGGTTTGCCAACTGACATTAGTGCTCATCAAGCTTCTAGCCTAATTTATTTTCCTAGATTAGCAAAGGTCGCTTTGTGGAATTACCACACAAAACAGTGAGGACCAAGTGTCCAAATAATAAAAACTATTCTTAAAAACAGGCAGCCAGACCATGTGACCACTTATCAGACCAATTGACTTGTTAGCAATTTCTTCAACTTGCAGAAAAGTGACTAACATGGTTCCCTAATGTCTCACAGGTCAAAACCCAGCCATGAGCGACGATGACGACTATTTGGCGTTTAAGGAAATGTATGAAGCCAATAGCTCAACTGATCCCAGCTATGTGTTTAGTGAAACTGTCGAGCTCTGTTCAAAGCAGGCTGTCAACCAGTTCGGTGCAAGACTCATCCCAGTGTTCTACTACACCATCTTCCTCCTGAGTTACCTTGGCAACGGGCTTGTTCTCTTTATCATCTACAAGTTTGAGAAGCTCAACACAGTGACAAACATCTTCCTTCTGAATTTGGTCCTCTCCAACCTTCTATTTGCCTCCAGCCTCCCCTTCTGGGCGACATACCATCTGTCTGAGTGGATCTTTGGTGTGGCTCTGTGTAAGATGGTAAGCAGTGCGTACTTCATCGGCTTTTACAGCTCAATCCTATTCCTCACACTCATGACATTTGACCGATACCTTGCAGTAGTGCATGCAGTGGCAGCCGCCAAGAGCAGGAAGAAGGCATATGCCATTACTGCGTCAGTGGCAGTTTGGTGCATCAGTATTGTAGCTAGTGTGAAAGAGCTGGTTTTCCAAAATGTGGGAAAGAGTGTATTCAATGGGCTGACATGTGAAGAGTTGGGATACTCCGAGAGCACCATCGAGCGCTGGCGGCTGGTCACTTACTATCAACAATTCCTGCTCTTCTTCCTCCTCCCTCTCACCGTGGTGATGTACTGCTACATTAGCATCACTATCCGCATTTTGTCTACCCGCATGAAGGAGAAATGTCGTGCTATCAAGGTCATATTTGTCATTATCTTCACCTTCTTCGCCTGCTGGACACCCTACAACATCGTCATCCTCCTTCGAGCTCTTCAGGTCACCAGCAAGGAGGAAGGCTTATGTTCCGACTCGGAAAGCTTGGACTATGCACTGTATGTGACCCGGAACATAGCCTATCTGTATTGTTGCATTAGTCCTGTGCTTTACACATTTGTGGGAAAGAAGTTCCAGAGCCACTTCAGAAGGCTGATGGCTAAAAAGATTCCCTGTCTGAAGAGACACATGAGCACCAGCAGCCAGAGCACCAGGAGCACCTCTCAGAGGACACACTCCGCCCACGAGTACTAGACACACACACACTATTAAGAATGAATGTTGTAATCAGTGTGTGTATTCAGGTGGCTTAGTTACCATCTATGCAAAGTTGGGGAAATTATAGGAAACATTATTTAGACTTCAGAAACAGGTTTATTACCAATGAATGTCAGAGAGTTGATTTTTGTCATCTCCTTGGTTTGATTTGACGAACATCTGATAATGAGGGAAAAAAAGACAAACACCATCAGTAAACCCACCCTTTACTACTGAAGTGGTTTCATGAATGATTTTCGTCTTTCAATTGAAGCGGCACTGGCTCTCAGCCCCCAAAAACTGGTTCTACTACCAAACAATCTGCACAGCCGGCACCAAAAGCCAAGAGCCTCAAGACGGAGCAACAACAGTTCATGGAGAGAAACGCCAGGCAAACATGTGACATTTTTCATTATTCACCACACTATGAATTATGTCCCATTTACTATCATTGTGTTAGCAACTACATATTCATTCAAATTGTATAATTTTGATATGGGTCATTAAAAAATTGGATGGCATTTTCTGTCCCACCTATTGTTGATTAATAGGGTTTTTATTCTGTCCGGGCATAACAGGTGTATCCTCACCACCACGAGGTACCGATAAACTCCCTTCTTTCCATACTACCTCCATTGATCAACTCTTATTTATACTTTCCTGTTAGTTTATCCTTTAGATTGTCACAGACCTGTTAATGAACACACTTCTGAAACCTTTGAGATGTAATACCCGTAAAGCACTGCTGCCGTATTTCAGATCAAACGATCATGGCGACCTCCAATGTGACTTACTATTTTCTGCAACAGAGTTGACCAGGTGCTACTTGCCAGCTGTTATCTCTGGGAGACTGCAGTGTTCAGTCAGGGATTGACCCTCAACCAAGGAGACAGGACACTGGAATCAAACTGGACTCAGGACTCAAACTTTGTGGGGACGGGTTACATTTCCGCTGATTTGTCACTTGTTCAGTAATAATCAGAGGCCTATGCGGATCTTTAGTTTCCTTTCACAAGTGTGAACAGGTAGTTTTATTAAAAGTGTTACAAGTTATATCACACCACACAAAATAATAGATTATTATATTAATGCTATATACGTTTTGCTCGGATATATATTATATCGAACCAGTGTTCGAGTTTGCCGTACTACTAATTAGCGTTGGCCAGGTGGTTCAGTCTTTTTCAAGAAGAACTCTTGTCCTCCGTTTTCTTGTCTTCTTTTATACTCTTCTGTTGCATGTTCTTGCTCATCATGTGCTCAGGATGTGGGTCAGAGGTGTTTTTCTTTGTTGCTTTGTGGTTAAAGGTTCACTCTCACAGAATAGAATGTTAATTTCCTCGAACGAGGAAATGCTTTGCTACATAGGCCTTTAAAGAACCCATATAAGGATTTCCATGTTATACATCTATTGCTATTGCTATTGCATATATTGACTATGACATCTTTATGTTTTACACACTTGTTATTTTAAGCTTGTTATTAAAAAATATACTGTTTCATTTTTAAAACTTCTTTCAACACTATCAATCAATCAATCAATGTTTATTTATATAGCCCAATATCACAAATGTTACATTTGTTTCAGTGGTCTTCACAGTGTGTACAGAATATCAGTATGACAATACGACACCCTCTGTCCTTAGACCCTCTGTCCTTAGACCCTCACATCGTACAAGGAAACACTTCCGGAGAAAACCCACAGTTTAAGGGGAACATGGGAGAAACCTCAGGGAGAGCAACAGAGGAGGGATCCCTCTCCCAGGACGGACAGACGTGCAATAGATGCCGTGTGTAAATCGAAGAGATAATACATTTGACAGCATATAGACCGAATGTTAGGAAATGCATGTGTCTGTAATAAGAAGATGAATCCACGAGGATGTCAGCTACAATCCTGTGGAAGCCATCAGGGAAGCAGCATGATGAGACCCAAGGCAGGACCGCAGAGACAGGTTCAGCCACGACTATTAAACTTCCTATCATCCATGCCCAAAATGCTCAAACATTTGATTTATTTTTGCTATTATGTTGTTCTACACTAGTATACGTCTTTTTGTTAAATCAAAAAGCGTATTGTAAATAACAGTCGTTTTACACTGCATGTGTGTCCCAAAACATGTGGAAACGTATTAAGCCTGGCAGAGGAAGTGAAAACTGTAAGTCACATGACACAGAAGAAATTACATTATCAAGCCTGCTGTGGTAGACCACAGTAAAGTCCTCTCTTTTATTTTTCATATTTTTCTTATCTTTACTGTCTTGAACGAGTGTAAACAACGCAACCCTGTTACTCATATGATCAGACGAAGATAAAATGATCTTTCTTTAGTTAAATATCTAAGTTTGTCCTTGCCTTGAAAGTAGCATTACATTTTACAAATAGCATTGACTCCTAAGGTAAAATCTAACATAAGCTTACTTTCTGAATTACTTTCAAGCAGCAGCTGTCATGAGGTCACAATAAACCTAACCCTAACCCACAATAAATAAGTTGGGGTATAAATGGATTGAAGTTTTCCAACTAGAAATCCAGATGCATTGAGGCTAAAGCACTGACAAATCACATAATCCCACGTTTTGGAATTCCAGAAAAGATCTATAGCGATAATGGCACACACTTTGTAAATAAAGTAATTCAGGATTTGACAGCCGTATTTGGAATACAGTTAAAACGACATTGTTCTTATCATCCACAGTCAGCAGGGTTGATAGAAAGAAATAATGGTATAGTAAAAGCTAAACTAAAGAAGATGATGGCCGAGACAGGGAAAACATGGATGAGATCCTTAGCACCAGTGATGCTAAGCATGCACATCCTACCCAGTGCTAGAGGGCTGTCACCTTTTGAAATGTTAGGAAGACCATATTATCTGCCTGAGTTAAAACCATTTGTAAGAGTGGACGAAAGTAGGCTATGAGTGAAAACACATCAGAATATATGGCAAAAATGTTGAGAAGAAAAGAGATCACAAATGTTCTTATCCCCTCTGCACAGGAAGTACCTGACTCCACACAGACAGTGAAACCAGGAGAGTGGGTGTTCACCAGAGCGATAAAGAGGAAGAGCTGGCACTCGCCCAAGTGGGAGGGTCCCTACCAAGCACTCCTGTCTACACCGACTGCAGTTAGAGTGGCGGAGAGACCATCCTGGATACACCTGACTGTGAAGCTGTTTAAACCTAAAGACAGAAACTCGCCTCTACTGTGGTGAAGTCTGGCTACGAAGGGAGGTGATTCCAATAAGGGCGCTTGTCTCAAACCAGTGAAGAAACCAACAGAACGCAGCTAAGAGTGAACGTTAGCAGGGAAACAGTAACGGGTCTGAGTGATAGAAACTGACGATGTATCAAAGAGAAAGAATTAGGCCATGGCATCCATTCAGATTACATTAAAACATGTGCCTATACATCTTACCTTAAATAACTCATTATACCCTACTGTCCTACTAGGGCATTGCGTTCCAAGAATGCAGGGTCGTTGGTTGTTCCTAGAGTCTCTAAAAGAACAATGGGAGCCAGAGCCTTTTCTTATCAAGCTCCACATTTGTGGAATCAGCTTCCAGTTTGTGTTCGGTTTTTAAGAGTGCGCTTAAGACCTTCCTTTTTGATAAAGCTTATAGTTAGGGCTGATTAGATTCAGTCCCTAGTTTTGCTGATATAGGCTTAGTTTGTCGGGGGACATCGAACTTCTTCCTTCTCTCTGTCTATACCTGTGTACTCTCATGTTCCGAATAACCCAGCTTCCCCAAATTTCTTTTTGGTGTCTATATACGCCGGGATCCTGAGTCGTGGCTGTGGTCCTGGATCATGAGCCCTGGATCTTGAGTCGTGGCTGTGGTCCTGGATCATGAGTCCTGGATCTTGAGTCGTGGCTGTGGTCCTGGATCATGAGTCCTGGATGGATATCCTCGTGGATTCATCTTCTTATTATAGACACATGCATTTCCAACATTTGGACTACCTATGTTGTAAATGTATTATATTTTCAATTTACACACGGCATCTATTGCACGTCTGTCCTTATTTCAGGCTTCTAAACAAAAACACGTTTTACTTCAAGACAGGGGACAGGAAGTGGCACAACGCTAACTCATCTCCTGGTTTATGGAAACATTAATTCACCAATCTGTTAATGATACTATTCTATACATTATTTTACACAAAATGCTACCGTCTATCTGACAATACTAGCTTTTACCCCCCCCCCCCACAGAAAGCAGACACAACGCACATGCCTTTGAAAAAGGATTGTGTTTTATTTACAGTGACTTTCATCAGAATTACAATACAAATCATTTATAGAACCAGTCTCCACATACGGAGAATTTAAATCAGAGGAGGTGAGCTGGATGCTGTGTGTGTGTGTGTCAACTTTGGCAGAGGGAAAGTCCTTGGATGTATCTGCAGCCTCCTCTTCCTCCCCTTATTTCATCTTCTCAGTGACTCTCTCCTTTCTTTCCCACAACCTAGTTAGAAACGAAAATAAAAGGATCGTCAGCGATTACAACGCACTCATGAACACACCTGAACAAAAACAAATGTAGTTATGGCTAATGTACCCTCTTAAAATCGCTCATGTTGGTGGCCTGTACTGGAGTGCCAATGAAGGTCAGATAGTTGATTTTTGTCGTCTCCTCGTCTCCTTGGTTTGATTTGACGAACATCTGATAACGGGGGAAAAAAGACAACACCATCAGTAAACCCACCCTTTACTTCTGGAGTGGTTCAGGTTGCGAACCCGTTTTTTGTCTCTCAATTGAAGCGGCACGAGCTCCCAGCCTCAAGACGGAGCAACAACATTTCATGGGGAGAACAGAAGTGTGTGGCAGAAGCACTAGCGTTGAAGTTGTGTCTCGAACGCCGGACATACATGTGACATTTTTCCATTATTCACCATACTATGAATTATTACCCATTTACTATCATTGTCCTTTTTAACCATGAACATCTGTTGAAAGATTGTAATTATAATTTACATTTGACTAGGCCTAACAGATAACAGATGAATACTAGTCTTATTCTGGAGTTGAAAATGTGACATTTTTCATTATTCACCATACTATGACCCATTTACTATCATTGTGTTAGCAAGCACTTACTCATTCAAATCCTTTATATGGGTCATTCCAAAACTGGAGGGCATTTCTATCCCACCTATTAAACTTCCAATCATCCCAAAATGCTCAAACATGCACTTGGTGTGCGTGCTTTTTTATTATTAAGTTGTTGATATAAGTCTGTAGTAATGATCAAAGCAATTTCTTATATCATAAATGTAACGGTTATTTGATACTGAAAGTGTGTCCCACACTGTCGGTGAGCCACAGCCCCACCTAGAGTCAGCAGAAAGTAATGCAAATAATAATTCCAAAATATATATGTTAAAATATATTTTAAGATCATGTTTAGTCGTCTGATTAGTCATTGCTGTTTCAGTCTGCGTCCTTCCAATTAGTGTCCACAGTGTGCGTGTTGAGCGAAGTGGGGCAAGCCCCCCTCTCTGCTGTCAAAGTGAATGGGTGCTCTACACTGCACATGTTCAGAGTATTTTCCTATTCAATGTGTGTGACAACAAAATAATCACCAGTGGGGCAAAGGGCTGGCATACCCACTAAACGTCATCTCATAATTCAGAGCTGATTGGCTGTAAGTACGTGTGCCATGAAAAGTGTAGTTGTGAAGAGAAGACGAGAGAGAGCAGCGTAGAGCGATTAAAATCAGTAAAGCGGAAAGAAAATGAATGAAGTTGATGATCTACTTCAGCTTGGTACGTTCATCTTATGTCATATCTTTTGTTGATCTTCTGTGTTTTGCCTATAGGCTATTGCTCTGCTGGATCGATTGATATTGTGACCTCGGTGACGAGTGTCTGTGTTTATATATATTAAATGTACCTGTAGTTTTTGCACACCT